CAGCCTGAGTGGAATCATGGAACTCAGGTAAAGACTATGGATCTGAGTTGGAGTATAATAGTAAACCATGGAAAATCTAAGTGATGAGGATGAAAAGATGAGGACGCAGTGACTCTATGGGGTGGGAAGAAAAGCGAGAATGGAAAACAAGAAAACTGAGCATCTCTAAGCTGTTCTTGAAGACCAGGGATACCTTAAAACCATCTACGGTCTTCCAGTTTTAGGAATATTTTCTAAGAAAATAATTGGACAAAGGCATGAAGAGGTGTGTGCACCAAAGATTATCACTTCATTTTTAATAGAAAAATACCCCCCCCCAACACCTAAATGTCCATCAGCAGGAATGGTTATATAAAATTTTGCTTAAACAGCCCTGGCTGGTGTAGCTCAGTGGATTGAGTGCGGGCCTGTGAACCATATGATGGCGGTTCGATTCCCAGTCAGGGCACATGCCTGGGTTGCAGGCCTCACGAGAGGCAACCATACATTGATATTTCTCTCCCTCTCTCCTTCCCTTCCTCTCTAAAGATAAATAAATAAAGTCTTAAAAAATGTTTGCTTAAACATATGATGGAATTGTATGTACCCTTTTAAAATGCTGATATCTGAGATACACCATTAAGACAAAAAGAAGTTTTATAAATTTTTATCTTTGTGTTAAAGGAGATGTTGTAAGAATAGAAAAAAGCTGGAATAGATAAAATGTTAATGGTATCCTCTGGTTAGCAGAATTAAAACTGATTTTTATCTTCAAGAAATAAAAAAGACTTTCGAGCAGGAGTATAAGGTAGTTTCAGATATGCTTTTGGAGATGACCGTGGTTGCTGCAAAGAATGTACTGTGGAGGGAAAGGAGAGATAGGGAGGCAGAGGCTATTTCAGTGGTTAGACAAGAAAAACTGGTATTTGCACTGGGAGGGAGGCAGAAAGAGGCAGACAGATTTTAGGTCTAATTAGGAAGTGGGAACAATAAGGTTCAATACTTATTAAACACATACAATGTTTCAGGCACTGTGCTAGGTGCTAAAGATACAGAGGTAAACAAATCACATAAAATCCTTATCCTGTTCACTCAGGCACTATGGTGGACAGTGGGCCGCTGAAGCTGGTTTGCACTGGCTTACAAGGGCTCATTGTCAAATTTTCAGGAATTTCGACAGCTGGTTGTTGAAACCCCACCATTATTAAAAATTAAATTATGTAAATGTAAATGTTTTATTAAAATCAAAGATAATAAATACTCAAAACTCATCACTTCCTAATTATTTCACTGCATTTTACTATGACCTGTGCTCTTCAGTTTACTTATATCTATCATATCTGCACGGTGGAAATATCACATAGTAAGTAGCACATTACTGTGCATTTCTTCCCAACTGCATGTTTACTGATGTCTTGTTGGTAGCTTCAGTTTGACCATGATATTTACACCACAGAAATGAACAAATGCTACAAGTCAGGGCTTTTATCCTTCTAGACAGCTGGCTTTTAAACATGGGCCAGCATACCCCTTAATAGGGTACAGAACACACTCCCAGGAGTCAGGCCGCCAGAGCTTAATCATGGCTCTCCCACTTGCTTACAGTGGTATTTGACTAAGATACCTAGTATAATGGGACTAATTTGTAAAATGGGACTAATTTATATATATTATATAACATTTATATAATATAATGAAATTTAATGAAATAATCCCTATCAAGTGCTTAACACAGTGCCAGGTGCATGCATATGCCCACAGAGATGAACAACTTGTTATAATGACTTACTCATAGAGAAGCAAGAATGGACTATGTAGGAAAGCTCATTACAGACAGAGCAAACAGGAAAAATGTGCACGTTGGAGGAGTCATTTGGGAGCAGTGAGCTCTTTTTGGTCCCTGGAACTTTATCCCTAAGCTTTCTCAGTTTGGGGACAGGAGGAATCCAGTCTCTGCTCCCTGGAGTTCACAGCCCTGGGCAGCAGGTCTAGCTCACCAGTCAATACTCCGTGGCCTAGGAGAAAGGACCGAGGTCAGAGAACTTGGATCAGCAGCAGGGCAGGTTGGACAAGGCCATTCCAAGGAACGGTGGGTCAGTGTGTAGTTTAAATGTGGCCCCTGGAAATGCAATAAGAAGCTTTGTCCACGAAGACATGGGCAGGTTTGCCTTCAGACCCTTTGGTTGGGTGGGGGTAGAGGGGGAGCAGAAAGCTGCTGGTTAGGAGGACCGAGAAGACTACGTGGAAAAGCAGATAGCTGGATTTTTTGGGTTTGCATTCCCAAGGAAATCAAGCAAGAAACCGAGGGCCCCCAACTCACCCTGGGCAGCAGAGATTTGCAGAGGAAGGGGCTGTGCCACTGAGGCCTCAATGGTGTGAGGGAGAACGCTGTGGAGAGCGGGTTTCAGGCAGGAAAAACTCCTGGGCTTTGGTCTCCAGTTAAAGGGTGGGAGCGCACTGATACCGGAAGCCTCTAGGGGGCGTTCAGGGCCAAGCTGAAGATCACTTCGTCTTTAGCTTAGGTCAGAGAGCTGGGAAGGACTCCAGGACAAGAATAAATGCCACCTCAAGTGAGAGGAGAAGCCAGGCCAGACGGATCTTGGATCCTCTGAGAAGAGCTTCCTTGTGCCCTGTGACCAGCACCAGATGGACAACATATCCACAACTGAGGTTTCCCAACAGATAGTCCTCTGCTGCTCTGCTCCTGCTAAGAACTTGAGCTTCAGCCTGAGCTGCCTGCCATGCAGAAGACTCTCTGGCCTACTCCTGGCATGGGGAGGAAGACTCCTATTATGGTATTTGAGCCATCTTAGCCTAGACAATCGAATTAAGAAACAGCAAAAAGAGGCAATAAAGCCCTCTTCTGGGATAGTGCAGGGGTGCTGTGAGAGAACCAGAGCTGTGTGGGAAAAAAGAGGCCAAGCTGAAAACTCATCATCCAGTATGTGTGCTATCTCCCCACGAAGAGCTGTGTAAGGCCAGAGGGGAGGCCACATTCCTGTACCGGCAGGTCCAAGCAGGGCCCTGATACCACCACTGAAGACCCTCGCTGTGGGCTTTCCGTTCTATAGGGTGTTAGTGACTCAGTGTGAAAGCATCCATCACCAGCAGGCCAGTGAAATCTGTAGGACACACAGACACCGTTCTGGATCTATAAAGAGTTGTTTAGGGGGGTTGCTGATTTAAGGTGCTCAGGAGGGAGAATCCCAGCACAGTTCTGTAAGATCTTAGAGGCTGAGAGTGGAAGAAGAGGTAAGGGGGACTTGGAAGTAGCGGTTTCCAGAGCCCAGTGCTCAGGAGCTGGGGTTGGGGGGCCAGTAGGGGGAGCAGGTCCAGGCAGGGACGCCTGCAGAGTGGAGAAGGTGGTTGTTGGGTATCTGCCATAGGAGCTGTGATGTTGCCCATGTGCCAAGGGCTTAGGAAGTCCAGCTTTGCCCACTAACCACTGGAGAGGAATGATGCTAACAAGGCACATTTTCTTTCATGAGGCAGGAGAGGATATTGAACCTGATGGCAAAGGCCCAGTGGTATGTTGTTCCACAGGTCCCAGAAACCTTTGTTTTTCTGTTGGGAGGAGGCTTTGCAGAGAACAAAAGGGGCGTGAGACCTTTGCTAAGGTTGTATAGGAATATGTCAGGGTGGGTCATGGAGCTACCTGAGAGGGATCGGGACACTTTCAGGCAGTGCTAGTGAAATAGAGGTCCTGAAACCAGTCAGCTCGGCCCATAACAGACTCTGCTTATATTTATCTTCAGCCTCAGCAGGGAGTTCCAGAAGAAAATGGGTCAGGCTTTGAGAGAGGCCCCAGGGAATATTGAAGATGGCAGGTACTAGAGATCACAGGTGAGTTTCCAGAACTAGAAGAGGAGAGGGATGCAAGACTCAGATATTGTGCCCGGTGACCAGTATGAGGATGGCCAACATATCCACAGGAAAGACAGACAAGACCGTGTGATGAAAGGCAGTAACAATGGGACCTGTGACGCCTCAGTCCAATATGCCTTTCATCATAACACACCCTCAACCCTGATATTCCCTTACCCCAGGAGAAAAACTGTCAGAAATCTGACGGCAACTAGTCAGTACTTGAAATGTATTGTCAGTACTTGAACAGATGTAATTGAGCACCTATTATATGCCACATACTATTTGTGGTGGAGAGACTGTAAGAGTAAACAAGTAGGTAGACAGATGAAATAACTTCAAGTTTGATTAAGTGACATGAATGATGCAAACAGGTTGGAAATGGCTGGATAGATTCGTCATGAAAAGCTTCAGTGAGAAGACAGTGTTTCTGCAAGAATCAGCTCTAAATATTGTGAAACCCATTACAGTTCTGTTTATTCTGTGCTGGGTAAATAAAGCACTTTTTCCTTAATGTGGAAACTACCAAGAAAGACTAATTACTAGCAGTGCTCTCTAGAGACAGACACCTCTTCCTGTCCCTTTACTGTCAACCCTTCCCTCCCAGGTGATTTTTGCAAAGCTTTTTACCAGTGGGGATGGGGCCAAGGGTGGAGCTTAGACATTAATGGTGAAATTTTATTGGCTTATCAAGGGCAAAGCTGAAGAGCTTGGGAATGCCCCAGAAAGGCCCTTAGTGGAACTTGGAAATATGTAAGTATCAGTGTCTTGAGTTGTCTTGCAGCTCAGTACACAAAAATGTTAGTGTCCTCCTCTTCTCCCCTCCCCCACTGTAGAGGTAAATCCAACCACGGAAAGGTCATCTTCAATAAATCTATCCACTTCCTTGATATCATGGGCAACCAGATCCATCACTAGGGAATGAGAGTCACAGCTGGGCATCAGTGGCATGGGCTAGTCACTGCTCAAAAATCAATGAAGGGGGACGGGGCCTCCTGCCGGGAAGGGTTAGTCTTGGACTCAGATTTCTGTCAAGACCCTGACCTTATTTACACTGATGTAATCAGTCAATATTGGCCTAATCCTGAGAGAGAGCTCTTTCCCAGCATTGCAGGTAGGGGTGGTGCTCTTGCCATCTCTATAAAGGGAGTTCAGCCAGGTGACGAGAGCTGTCCTGTGGCCTCTCCTGCTCATCATGGCTCGGACACCGGGAGCACCAGTTACACTGGGGTTGTTGGGCCTCTGCTTGTCTCTGGCCATTGCCCACCCTGTTCCTTCGTGAGTAAAGCTGATGCTGGGGAAGGAGGACTAGAGTGTGGTCTAGAGTGGGATAGAGCCAGCCTTTAGGCCTGGACAAGTATGGGGTCAGGAGCTAAGGAAGACAAATTGGGCCCATTGGACCCAGACATCCCTCTGTCCTCTCTCTAGGACTAGTGCCTCTGGGAATGCAACTGACAGTGGGCATAGGATCAAGCTGAACCCAGATGCACTTGGTGAGGCCCTGACTCCCTCAGTGTGTCTGTCCACCGGGCTATGTCTCTGCACTATATCGTCTGACTGGTCTTTTACTTTGTCATCTCCCCACCTCCACCTCAGAACTCTGCTCAGATGGCTGGAGCTATGATGCTACTACTATGAGTGAAAATGGGACCATGCTGTTTTTTAAAGGTAGGAGAGGCAGGGGTTGGGGCACCTGGACTTGAGGATTGATCTGCTTCACCAAGAGTGTATTATCTATCTGTAGGAAATCTTAGGAATTGAGATTCTCAGCCACAGCTTCTCTGTAACTCTCTCAGTTGGCCAAGACTTTGTTCCCAGTCTCTCAGTGGTTGTGTTTTTCAGGGGAGTATGTGTGGAAAGGTCACCACTGGGCCCGGGAGCTGATCTCAGAGGCACGGAAGGATTTTACCAATTCTGTGGATGCTGCCTTTCGCCTCGGTCATAACGATGTTTTCCTGATCAAGGTACTGCTGGATCAAAGTCAGGGCTGGGCCAGAAAGTGCTGGAATCCACAAAAGAGCCTCTCCCCCAAGTGGCCCTGTCTGGAAGCTCTTACCCATAGGTTCCAGGTTTCTGTCCCCGGTGCCTTCTGTGCCTGAAAAAGCTCAGGCTAAAAGAGTGTGTGCATGTGAGCCGGGCAGGTACAGTATTCAATGGCTATTTTTCAGTCCTAATGTTTGTCTGGACCTCTCTGCCACTCCTCACACTGTGAGCCCACCTTTCCTTTGTGGCAATTTCTTCCCTCGGCATCCATGACCCCTCATCTGGTCCTCTTCATGTGGTGGCCAGGTTGTTCACAATACAATGGCAGCTGGACCGGGAATGAGCAAAGGATGAAATCCAGCCCACTGTGCTCATCAAGTCACATGCCCTGGCCCTGGCTCTGTCTGCTCAGAGGAAAGGACACCTCCTTTTAACTTGCACAAAGGCACTATGAAGATGGGGTACCCTCACTGCCAACTTTGTTTTCCTTCTGCCCCTTTTCCTGCTCTTTCTCAGGCTTCTTACCCTTGGCTGTCCTTGAGTGTTCCATAAGCATCCATCCCAACCCTTCCGTACACCCTCCCTAGGTGATCTCTACCATTGCCACAGCTCTGAGGACTTTCTGTGCTGTGAACACCAGAGCTGGATTTCTCCCTGGAGCTCCAGACCTCTCCAATTTCCAGGCAGACACCTTCAACTTAGATATCCCATGGGCACCTGAAATTCAGCATCCCCAAAACTGAACTTAGTATTTCTCTTACAAATCAACCCCTCCTCCTGCATTCCCTATTTCAGTAAATGGCACCACCACGTGCCGGTTACTCAAGGCAAGTGCACATGGATCTGGAGACCTGGCCCTTGGTTATCTTTTCAGGTCATCTTTTCAGATTCTCTGAGCATGCTCTGTATATGTTGCTCCCTCTGCTGGAGATACCTTTTCCATACTTTTCCATGGTACATCCCTGCTCAGTTTTCAATTCTTGGCCCAAATGCTTCCTCTTCCATGAAGCTTTCTAGAAATTCTCTAGGCAGATGAGGTGCTTCCCCTATATTCCCAATGCACTCCACATGCTCCCACCTCGATGGTTGCAAGGCTAGGATGGTAGGGTCCTTTCTGCTTTTGTACAGTGAAATCCTTCAAGGCAGAGAGAGAGCCTTGCCATCCCTTGATCCCCTATAGCTAGGATATAGTAGTCATTCTTAAATTAATAAGTGCATGAATAAATAGATAAATGAATTGTATGTGTGGTTGAATGACTGCAGGATCATTATTTTTGGATGTGTTTGCCAACACTAATGGTGCTGCAAGTAAGCGTGCCATCGGAGTGTCTACTGTATGTAGCCAGATGTGTGTGTGTTATGGTAATAGTGATGGGATTTACACAGAGAGTATTAGTGTAAGAGGACAGCACAGTGTTGTCCACAGATGCACCGAGAGTGTGTGGGTTGCAGGAGGTTATTGTATAAGTGCAGCAGGTCAAAGATGTTGTGTGTACATGCAGGATGGCAGCATGTGGGGGAGCGTAGTTAAAAACAGAGTGCTTTTGTATCCAGGGAGACAAGGTCTGGATGTACCCTCCTGGGAAGAAAGAGAAAGAATATCCAAAGCTGCTACAAGATGAGTTTCCTGGAATCCCATTTCCACTGGATGCAGCTGTGGAATGTCACCGTGGAGAATGCAAAGATGAGGGCATCCTTTTCTTCCAAGGTCAGTCCAGGCTGCAGTGAAAGAGGCTGGAGTAATGGTGGGTCGGTGGTGATAGAGGTATCGGTTGGAGTGGTGGTGGTGGTGGAGCCACTGTATGGCTCCCCATGGAAGGAATGAGATAGGCCAGTTATGGTCTACAAGTGAAGAAGGGGAAGGAGAGAAAATTACCCTGGGAAGGGTAACTGGGTATAATTCTGCTAAAGTTCCCCATGACCCTTAGGACTGATCTGTGTTTCCTTACATATAAGATTCTCCATGGCCAAGTTCCTACTAACCCACTAGCCTCGACTCTCATTATTCTCTTACCTTGAATATGAAGCTTCAGAAACACTACACTGTTCTCTGTTCACCCAATTTCCTTCATGCTTCAGACTTTCCTCTATCTGAAGTTCTCTTTCCCCCTCTTATGTGCCTTGAACCTTCTGCTTCAGATTTTAGTTTATATATCACCTTCTCTGGTAAGTTTTTCCTGATTCTTCCCACACCCTTCGCTGAGCTAATCACATGCACTTGGCTGCTGAATTTTATTGTATGACCACTTTCTTCAATTGTCTTTCTGCTGGACTATGAGCTCCATGTGGCCAGGGTGGTATCTGGTCCATCCTGGAGCCCAGTGGAAGTACAAGGGGGGAAAAGGGCTGAACTCAACAAATGGTTGTTAACTGATTGGACAAAGGTAACAACACGTGGTTCTGGGACTTGGCTACAAAAACCAAAAAGAAGCGTGACTGGCCAGCTGTTGGGAACTGCTCGTCTGCCCTTCGATGGCTCGGCCGCTACTACTGCTTCCGGGGTAACCAATTCCTGCGCTTCGACCCTGTCACGGGAGAGGTGCTGCCTAGGTACCCTCTGGATATCCGAGACTACTTCATTCCCTGCCCTGGCAGAGGTGAGCAAGCCCCAGCCCCTGGAACTCACTGGAATCCCACTAACCCCAGCCATGCCTTCCACCTCAGATCTCATTCTGACTTCTGGCCCCTGTCTTTGTTCCCTTTTGTCTATTTCAAACCCCCCCCCTCTCCACGCCACCGGCTCCAGGCCATGGACGCAGGAATATGACCAGCCATGCAAATGGAACCCACGCTGGCTATGGGATTATGCGCTGTAGCCCCAATCTAGTTTTGTCTTCACTGCTGTCTGACAACCATGGTGCCACCTATGCCTTCAGTGGTAAGAGATACCCGCAAATCCTCCACCTCTTCCCTCCAAGTACCTCCCATCTCTTAGGTGTGTTCCATGGCATGGAGGGAACACCATTATGTTAAGAATACCCAGCTGAGGAAGAACTCACTATCTTGGTGAAAACACCAATGTGACCCAACTACTCTGCACAGGGGTGGCCCTCTCCTCTCTCTGATAAATCTTTCTTTTTTCTCTACCTCATAGCTTCTTGTCTAATCTTTCTTCTTTTCCACAACTTTGGCTCACACATGGGCCACCGTGTCTTCTCCACCTTTTCTCTGGTCATGATTTTTCAGTCTCAGATCCAACTGATAAATGCCTCATTTGCCCACTTTGTCTTAGTCAGATTTCCAGAGAGGGGAATATTTTTATCCCAACACATTAAAGTCGTTACTGGTCAGCCTATGATTGATGGGTCAGGGGCTCATCCCTTTTTCTCCTGCACAAAGAACAGCATAGCTCTGGCTCTCAAAATAAGGGCTGTGAGCAGGATAGTTTCAGCAGAGGGGGAGACTGGATATGACATGCCCAGTAGACAGCTATAAAGATAACTTGTAGCTACTGCAAGAACACCAACAAACATGTATCAAGAGCGTGATGGGTCCTGGGGATTGTTCTAGACACTGGAATACAGTAGTGAGCATGGCAGACAGGGCACCTGCCTTCAGGGAGCCCGCCAGAGAGGGACAGGACGATAAGAAAGATAAAGAAGGAAAGGGAATACTGCTCAGTAAAATTAATAGCTGTGAAGTATTCTGTGAACATCAGAATGTTCCTTATGTCCAAATACCATTTGGAACTAGTATATATAAGTTTAAAATTCATTGATGTTTTAAAATATAAAATTGTGTCAAAAATGCTATACAGAAAATAAGACAGGATCATAACATAGAGGTGAGGAAAACAATAGGGCCCTCCTCTAAAGTGATTTTTTTAGCTGAGATTTTAGTAATAAAACAGAAGGGAAGCATTTTAGGCAGAGTGGACAGCAAATACTTTGAGGAATCAGAAAAGGGGGCCAGTGTGGATGGGCTGGAGCACAGTGAAGGAACAGGTTAGTGGCTTGAAAACAGGTAGATGATTTATGCCTGGTAAGGATTTCAAGTATAAAAGAAAGCCAGAAGGGTTCTTAAACAGTGCTGTGATATGTCCTGACTTATTTTTTAAAAGATCATTCTGGCTTCTTGTGTAATATAAGTCATAGAGATACAAGCATGTAAGCAGAGAATCAGGCTGGTAGTTCTTGCAGTTGTAGGGGTTACCAGTAATGACGGCTTAAATGAGAATAACAGCAGCAGAGGTGACGGGAATCAACCTAATATATATTTTTTCAGTTAAGCTGGCAAAACTAACCAATGAATTGGATATTGGTAGGAGTGGGGAAGGGAAAAGAGAGGTTTTAAGAATGGGACTAGGTAGCCGGGTGGTTCCTTTTTCTAAAATTGGGGAAGACAAAAAGAAAAAACAAATAATAAAATAAAATTGGGAAAGACTAGGGAAGGAATAAGTGTGTGTATGTGTTTGGTGGGAGCAGGAGTCAGTTTAGACTTGTGGGGTTTCTGGTGCTTAGTGGCCCCAAGTGGACAGGTTAGGTAGGCATTTGCATTTGAGCCTGACACTCAAAGGAGAGGTCCCTTAAAGCTGAAGAGAACAGACTGAAAGTCATGTAGATGGTATTTCAAGTCCTGGACTGGATAAGATCACCAAGAGAGTGAGTATAGAAAAGAGGCCCAAGGTAGGGGATTCCAATATTAGACAGCAGGCTGAAGAGAAGACGAGTCAAAAAGATAAGAACATGGGAGAGTCTGGTATCGCAGGTGCCAGGATCCAAAAAAGGTATTTAAATAAGGGAGTTGTGAACAATCACATGTTGCTGAGAGGTACAGTAAAACGGGGAGTGGGTCATGGGACCAATAGATTGGGCAAAGTTGGAGGATACTGGTGCCCTCGAAAAGAACAGTTTTAATGGAGGACGGAACCAGAAGTGTAAGTGAAGTGGGTTGAGAGGGAAAAGGTAAGTGGGAGCTCAGACAGGTGCTGCTCTGGCTACTCCCTCGCTCTCCTACCCCCACTCCCTCTCCAGGGATCAGAGTATTGTCAGAGTGAGAGTACTCATTGGAAGCTTGCTGTGGTGTATTCCTTTTAACTTGGTCACTATCCCTCATTGTCTATAACATCTCTGCACATGGATATCTGAGATGCATAGGGACCCCTCAACAAACCCCATACCATTTAGCCTTGGCCACTGTTCTTCATTCTTGCCCTTCTGTCAGGCCCCTGCTCACTGCAGTTCCAGTCAGGTCACAGTGCCTAACTGCCCATCAAGTCCTTCTCTGCTCTCTCTTATGTGTCTTCTTCCCTCTTGGCCTCTGAATGCATTCTCTCCTTCCTCTTGGGACTCACCCCCTACATCTGCTCTTGTCTCTTTACCACCAGCACTAGAAGTACCTCTGATACCCTACAGGGTCCCACTACTGGCGTTTGGACACCAGCAAGGATGGGTGGCATAGCTGGCCTATTGTCCATCAGTGGCCCAAGGGTCCTTCAACAGTGGACGCTACCTTTTCCTGGGATGAGAAACTCTATCTGATCCAGGTACGTGTTGGGAGAGAGGCTTGAGGTAAAGACTAGGAGAATATCCAGCCCTATGCTGATTAACATATTTTGTCCTCCAGGGCACTCAGATATACATCTTCCTAACAAAGGGAGGCTATACCCTAGTAGATGGTTATCCAAAACGGCTGGAGAAGGAATTTGGGAGCCCTCATGGGATCAGCCTTGAGGCTGTGGATGCAGCCTTTGTCTGTCCTGGGTCTTCTCGACTCCACATCATGGCAGGTGAGGGGCATCTGGGTGCCCAGGGGTGGCTTGTTCTACTGCTTCTCCATAGCACAGATCCCCATCAAGACCTGAGAAGGGTTAAGTCAGGATCTCCATGATGTGGAAGCCATGTTATATCTTGTGCCTTCTTCCCAGGACCGAAGCTGTGGTGGCTGGACCTGAAGTTAGGAGCTCAAGCCACATGGACAGAGCTTCCTTGGCCCCATGAGAAGGTTAATGGCGCTGTGTGCATGGCAAAGTCTCTTGGCCCCAATTCATGTTCTGCCAATGGCTCCGGCTTGTACCTCATCCATGGCCCCAATTTGTACTGCTACAGTGATGCGGAACAACTGAGTGCAGCCAAGGCCCCACCCCAGCCCCAGAAAGTGAACAGCCTCATGGGCTGCACTCACTGATAGGACTTCTGATGTGAGTCTGGCCCTGACCCTTCTCCCCATTTTCCTTACAATAAAACCAGAGGTCTTCTTGGCTTGAATCAAGGGGCTCTGATTGTGGAACAGTCTGATTTCTTTCTTTGAATTGTGAAGGTATTAACATCTCTTTTAAGGCTCTCTAGCTCAGATCAGGCTGTGGGAAGCAAGGGAAGGGAGGGCTGAGGGACACACCTCATTTCTGCCCAGGTGATCCTAAACCCAGGTCCGAAACTGACTTCTTTTGGACTATCTACACACTGAAGGAAACAGAAGACCAAAAATAGAGGGAACTGCTGTGTTTACACAGCAAGTAAGAGGCAGAGCAGGGACTCTGACCAAGCCTGGTAATAACTTACCACAGGCTAGCCGCAAGACATTGGGAAAATAGGACTGGGGGCAGCTATTCATGTGCCAAGTGGATTGGATCAGAGTTGCCATGTGAGGGCCATAGAGGCCCTCAAATTGTGGTTCCAGGTGGTTCTGGCAGTACTATTCCAGAAGAAGTCTTTGGTTGTAATGAGTTAGGCATAACAAGAGGAATAAAGTTGAGGTGGGGAAACAAGAGAATCAAGATGGGGAGAGAGGAGAAGGAATGATTCAGGGATCTGGCACCATAAGACACATTTGCAGAACATTGCCCCGAAGTAGTCCTGCTGGCTACCCTTTGGCCTCTGTGAATGTGGGCCTAGATGGTGCAGTGTTTGGGTGGAGGTTGCAGTTGTTCGTTCTTTTCTGATCATAAATGGACCAAGGCTTTAGGCTCCAAACTTACTGACAACCATTTGACTGGGAAGTGAGTCTGGACTATAAGCAAGTGGATCTCAAGTGAGACCATTTTCCTCCTCTACCTTTTCAACCCAGCAGAGGTTAGAGATTGGTTTGTTTTGTTTTAGCCTCAGATTTTAAGAGGGAGCCCTTACTCTTAGCTTCCACATTCTAGCCTCAGTGGCTCTTCCATAAAATGGATATAATCCCACCCAACTCCCAATGACAATGAATATGGACTCAAACCCAACGCTTGTATTCTCTCAGAAAGGGGCCCTGAAAGTAGACCCATACTCTGGCACATGGCCTCATCCGACTTACTGTCAGCCCCTCATGATGAACGGCCCCTGGCTTTGAATGGGACACTGACATACTGGGCTTTGCCCTGGGAGTCCAGGCCATTAAGTGCCTCCTGACAGGCACCAGGCTCCTCCACCAGCACCTTGATGACTGGGGAGGAAGGAAGGGGTAGCAGGGGATGAAACCAGGTCTCTGAGCTTTCACCCAGGACCCATACACCAAAAAGTTGAGAGTTCAGTCCTCGGTTGAGGTGTGTGTTCAAGGTGATTGATTGCTGTTTCTTTCTCACATTGATGTTTCTCTCTCCATCTCCCCCCAATATCAATGGACATATCCTTGAGTGAGGACTTTTAAAAATAAATAAAATCTCTGTGACTTATTTTTTAAAAAATGGAAGACTGTATATATTCCAAAGACAGTGGAGCCAGTAATACATGGGATGGTGAGTAGATTAGAAAAGGCCTCGTATATGACATAACACTCGAGCTGAATTTTAAAAGATGAGTAGAATGTATGTTATTCCTTTAGCAAATGTATATTCTCCAATGCCAGGGAGCATTACAGGCAGAGGAGGAAACACAAGCCAAAAAGTAGGGCAGAAGAGATAGCCAGGAACCACAACTGCTCAGCAGGGTTGAGCACAGGGGATGAGTGACAGCTGGTGGGAGCTGGGCCTGGAGAAGGAGGCAGGGGCTTCTCAGCTCATGGGAGAGGGGGTTCCATGTCAGCTAGGAAGCATGGGTTCTGTCTGTCTTTGGGGCAATGGAGACGTACTGAGGGATGTTAGACAAGGGTGATAAGATTCCCTTGACTGTGGCAGAGTGGATACTAGGTGAAAGCAGACTACAGTGGATGTGAGGAGACCACTGAGGAGGCTGGGTCTGTAGTCCAGGTGGTAAATCACAAAGGTGGGACACTGGGTGGAGATGAAGATAAAAAGAAGTGAGCAGATTAAAAAATATTGAGAAGATGTAGTCTGTAGGACTTGCTGATGGATTGGAGTGGGAAGGAGAGTGAGGAATCTCACCTCCAAACTGCTCCATGATCCCTTCCCCTTTTATCATTGTGTCTTTTCTTCCCAAGAGAACTTACCCATGGTGCCCTTTTGAATTCACACTCCATGGTAATGTCTTTTTTACATTCTTCATACACTTCATGATTAATATGCTTTTCTACCTCTTTATCTTCAGCTTTAATTGAGGGGCAGGCAAAGTCCCTCGATCAAGGAAGAGGGGCAGACAAAGGCCCCTCTTCCTTTCCCTATAGTTGTCCTAATGGACGGGAAGCAGTGTCAGCATTGTCATAACTCAGCGCATGTCTGTACCATTTCTCTTCCTTTTTCTGTGCAGGTTAAATGCCTCCTCCTTTGGCATCATGCTGGTGAGCCATACCATTTTTATGGGCATCGTGTGACTCTATCTTCTCAATTGCTGAAGTCCCCACTTCAACCACTCAATTATTATGGCCCAATTCTGACCCCAGCCTTCATTTACAATTGCTCTCCTTGTGAAAAAATTCCTTAAATTCCAGTGTCCCACTTGTGACCATAACCTCTTATCCTTATCCTTCTGCCTCCCCCACAACTTTATTCTCATTCTCCTGCTCTTTGACTTTGCAGAGATGTTTGATCTTTTTACTATCTCCCAGTCCTTCATTCCCTAAAAGGCATTGTCTTTCTTTCCCACTTTGAACATCAAAGTCAGTCACCTGAACAACTTTATTAATACTTTTATTTCTCTTTCCCTTTTAAATTCTATTCAATTTAGCCATAGAAAAGAACAAAAACCAATGTCATGTCAGAGAAAGAGTAAGAATTTTAGAGTCAGACATTTCTGAATTACAGTCCCTGCCTAGCCACTTACTAACTTTATAGGTTTGAGAAATTTAGCCTGATTCCTGTGTGTGATGTATGTGTGTGTGTGTGTGCATGTCTGTATGCAAAATAGGAGTGTGTATTGCATCACTGTTCAGGAAGGATATAGAAATCACTGCAGATAGTTCAAGTAGAGAAGGATTAAATGGAAATAACTTATTACAAAGTTGTGGAGAGGTCTGGAGAAGCATAAGAGGAAAAGCAGGGCTACCCAGAGGCCAGAAAACTACTACTAATCTTGACTGAGAGGAGCAAAAGGGGGAAGAGAAATGACCCTAAGACCAAGGAGCTGGAATCACAAGTCTACCCTAACTGCTGATGTAGCTGGAGTTTGTACTGCTGATGCTGCTGCAACCGCCTCCACTTTTGCCACATCAGAAGCTGATGGTGCCGAAAGCAGAAAGATTTCTCCCTTCTTCTATTTTCCTCATGTGAAGGTTCCCATTGGTAGAACTTAACTGTAATAAAGCAATAAAGGAATCTCAGAACGTTTTCAGATTTCTAGCTCTGTTAGTACAGGGGAGACTATAGAAGTGTGGATGAGTACCAACAGGCAACAACTGCTACATATATTCATAACTTTTGGTTGCAAGGGATAAATCCCAGTTCAAAGTGGTGTAGACAAAAAAGAAAATGTAATGACTTATGTGACTTTAGACAGAGGGAATATAGGTGTTAAAGGGATATTATCAGGCATCTGTGTCTCTCCGCCCCTTAGCCCTGTTCCACTCTCACGCAGGCTCATTGTTCCCGATGGCAAGATGTCTACCAGGCTTACATTCTCCCGGCACCTCTAGTTGCAGGAAAATTCCTGGATCTGATTTTCACTGGCTCAGATTTAGTCACATGCCTGTCTTCTCTGAATTGATCACTTTGATCTAATCGTTGGTTAGGCGCCCAGCATTGAAGTGGGTTGTAGAACTTGGGTGATTCCTTTTTGAATGACATAGACTTAGAGCAAGAAGAGGATGTGCTTCGAAGAAAACTGATGTGCTGTTACCAATAAAAGGGCAAATGGATGCTGCACCCATACCAATAACAAAGGCAACAACATGTTCATGACAGGATAACACTTACCTTGTGGGGTTTTTCTTGTTCTCCACCCAACCCTCCTTTCCTTCCTTGACTGAAAATACTGACATTACTAGGCATGAAATATCGCAACCTCTTGTCTGCTCACACTTTATTGATTACTGTATTTACACTTTTGTCCTCACCCCTAACTCTTTATCTTATCAAGTGTCCCCTTCTTCTCACGACTCCTTGATGCCACCTCTTCTTACCTCCAGGGTCTCACTCTGTCTCTCAACTTCGTTTTTCTCTACTTTCAAATTCATCTTTTGTACTGGTATTTTTTTGGTAGTGTGTACCCATCTTCAAGTCTATACCATATTTTTTATTTTATTTTTTAAAGATTTTATTTATTTCTTTTTAGAGAGATGGAAGAGAGGGACAGAAATATCAATGTGTGGTTGCCTCTCTCATACCCCCACGGGGGACCTGGCCTGCAACCCAGGCATGTGGCCTGACGGGGAATTGAACCAGTTACCCTTTGGTTCATAGGCCAGCACTCATTCCACTGAGCTACCAGCCAGGGACATGCCATATTTTTTAGAAAGATGAACCAGAATCTTTAACTGCATATCGCTTTCCAGCTACTGCCAATTCTTTCTTCTAAATTGCTCTAAAGGGAGTCCTGCACTTACTTATTCTACGTCCTTGTTTCCATTTGCTCCACTCTGCATCGTGGCTTCTGCCTCTATTTTCTGCTGACATCTCTGATCACATCATGGGTTTCCATGACCTCCATGTCACCAAATTCAAAGGATACTTTTTTGCCTTGACCTTATTGAAAATCTTTGCTGCATTTGATGCTGTTGGCCACTTCTTTCTCCTTGAAAATTTTCCTTCCCTTGGATTTCTTCCATGACTACTCTCTCCGGATTCTCTGTTTCTTTTCAGCTTTCTTCTTGGCCTTCTTTTCCTCTGCTGGCTCCCCAAATACAGGCATTCCAACGGTTTAGTCCTCAATGCTTTTCTCTCCCTATATGCTCTTCCTGGGAATGTGTTAGAATAGTCCTGTTGAAGAATGGTGTTAAGGAAGTCCTTGCCAGACCTAGCATCTGACTTATGAATTCCACTCCATATAATATGTGGGAAGATTTTATTCCTTATAGATTTTCCAAATGAGAACAACCACCCAGAAGAAACAGGGCTTATTGTATCAACTATAAAACATTACAGTATCCAAGCAGTGCTTACATGTAATGGTAGAAAAGACTATCATCGCTCTATTAGGTGTTGTTGGTGCTAACAGAGACAAAAGCTCTATTCTTTCATATATAGGTGACTCGGGTGCCAACTGTCTGGTGATTCATAAAGAAAGTGACTCTGGATAGATTTTCTTCTAATTCAATTTTTTTTTAATTTTTTTAATTTAAAGATTTTATTTATTTATCTTTAGAGGGGAAGGGAAGGAGAGAGGGAGAGAAACATCAATGTATGGTTGCCTTTCATGCGTCCCCTGCTGGGAACTGTAGGTTGCAGGCCCGACTCAATCCACTGCTCGCCAGGGCATTTTTTTGATAGCTCCAAGGTAATAATTTTAATAGATTGCTGCCTGGGACCTACACTGGTTAGAACCACACCTGGCATCTGAGGTGGTTCATAGGCTATTGTTTGCTCCTGGGCCACTGAGAACATTAGATGGGGAAAGAGATACAACAATCAAAATATGGATGAAAGGCACAGGTTGAATTCCCATTGATCAGGAGGTTTTGCAGACCAAGAAGGAGATAAAGGATTTAGGAAGACTGTGTGGGTCAAACTGCACAGTGTGTGAACTGCACATTTTCCTTTTTGCATCTTAGCTAATTAGATGCCTCTCCCCACCCTCACCATCCTACCCGTGTGCCTCTGGTTACCTGAAGAAATTTCCCTGGATACTGCAGCCCTTCTGCCCAATGGGACTGCAAAGACAAGTATTTTAGTGGGCTGTTTGTAAACCGATGATATTTCTGGATTTTTTATCTTCACTGGGGACATGCTTATTGATTTTAGAGTGAGGGAAAGGGAGGAAGAAAAAGTGGGAGAGAATCATAATTGCAAGAGAGAAACATTGATTGGTTGCCCTTCATACACACCCTGACTGGGAGACTGAACCCACAACTGAGGCATGTGCCCTGGCCAGAAATAGAACCCATGACCTTTTGGTTTGTGGGACAGTGCCCAACCAGCTAAGTCACACTGGCCAGGGCTAGATTTCTTTTTAATTGCTCAAGCAGAAATCTGGAAGTCATCCTGTCCTTCATACTTCCATAGCTAATCAATCCATTGATCACTAATATCTGTGCATTCTACCTCTTGTTTATTAAACTCATGCAATTTTCTCCACCCCTACTCCTACAACTATGGTCATCTCCCATTTAGACTACATCAGTTGCTTCCTAACTGGTCCCCATACTGCCAAATTTGCTCTCTTCCTATCTATTATCCACTTAGAAGTGATCTTCTAACATGTGGGGATGAACATGCTACTCCCCTGTCTCAAATCCTTTGATGTTTTTCCATTGCCCTTAACATAAAGTTCAAAATCCTTAGTATACCATACAAGGCCTTCCTTGATTTGGCACCTACTGCCTTTCCAGCTTGTCTTATGCCATGCTTCTCCACTCTCACCCACATTGGCCTTCTTGTGTTTCTCCTTTGACCTATAATAATTTTCTATTGTCTTGTCTGACCTCTACCTCCATCACCCCATTCCCCTCACATAAGTGCCACTTTCTTATGCAAAGCCTTCCCAAACCTTTCTGGGTCAAATTTAGTTCACTCACATAGCATCATATACATCTTCTTCAACATACTCATCACATTCTAATCACATATTTAATGTCACTCTCCTGTTATTCTAGCTTCAAAAGGGTAAGGGCTGAATTTTCTTTATGTGTTCCCAGCACCAAGGACAGTGCTCACACATTAATAATTATTTATTGAAAGAGAACAAATGAATGAGGACATCTTTCTTCTTCTGGGTAACTCTTAACTCATCTTTCAAGGACCAATGTCAGAGGTTATATCCTCCAGCTTGTGTTACTCAAATCCGATTCATTTTTGGATCTCTAGAGTCTAGCTTGGGACCTGGTACATGATCCACATATCATAGGTATTTGTCAAATCACGATAAATTCTTGGCCAGGACTTGATAATTGTTGAAACTTAGTGATGGGTATCTGAGGGTTTATTACACTGTTCTATCTGCTCTTATATATATTTGAAACTTTCCATAATACAAGTTAAAATATTTATATGTTTATCTCAAGTCAGGCACAGCCAGAGATGATCTTGAGGCTTCTGGCTTAGGCAAAACAGTAGACAGTGATGCCATCCACTGGGATGGACAAAGTGGAGCTGTATCCAATCACGAGTGCACATGTGCACTGGGTATTTTGAGGAGGGTTTTCACTTCAATGAAAGTTCTTGGAAGGCCAAGAACGCGGATGAAAGAATGAACTGCAATGTGAACATCTTTAGTTTTAATGACCTTGAGGGCATTCCCCAGTCAGTTGTGCAATCATTAGAAGCTACAATAAATTAAAATCTCTGCCTTAAACCAATGGGCCATGAGGTTTCGGGATGGTCACATTACCCCTCATGATCTGTGATGGCCTCTGGACATTGATCTCACTGACCACTACCCAGGGAGTCTGCAGTAAATATTGTGCCCCACCACTGCTTCCCTCACATTTTTCATGCACATTCTCCCCTTCCTCTTTCCTGTTTTTTTTTTTTTTTTATAATTTCTACGGGGAGCGATTTATTGACGTCTGTGAGCCCTTGGTGTCACAGCTTTACATTGGGCAGCAGGGGTAGGGTATCAAGAAACATCTGGTTCCAGTCTGATTTCACCACCTTGTGACTGCGGACAAGTCGCTTTACCTTTCTGAATCTCAGCATTTGCCCCTAAAAATTAGGATGACCAGAGTGGCGACTTCACAGGACCGAGGCGAGGATTCACGTACGCAAGGGCTTTAACACTGAGCCTGGCACAGTATAAGCGGTCAATAAGTAGGAGCTATTATTATCGCCAGCGCTGAGTCCTTATCCGCTGTCCACCAGGACCGCGGGAGCGCTGCCTGTCGCAAGAGCCCAGCGGCCTGTCTCTTCAGAGCCTCCAACCCGGTGGGTGCGTGGCAGGCCGGGGTGCGGGGCAGGGCCCTCGGCCACGCTGGAATGGGTCCGGGGCCTGGGGCGGAGGGCGGCGCCGGGATGGGGAGGGGTCGGACCCGCCGAGGAGGGAGCTGCGCTCCGGAACCGCGCGCAGGGAGAGAGGCTGGACAGGGGACTGGGCCCTGGGCTCAGGGCCCGAGGGTCGCGTAGGGTGGGGCCTCCCGGACGCCCGGCCCAGGACCGCCCAGCGGAGCTCGCGCTCGCGCTCGCGCGCCCGGACCAAGATGGCGCCCCTCCCCCCACACCGCCCCCGCGCGCTCCCGCGGATCGGCGCGCGGCCCCGCGGCCCGCGCGCGCTCCTGGGCGGGGGATGTTGTGATGGAGAAGCCGCCGCGGAGCCGCAGCCCCGCAGCCTGAGCCACCTCCGCCACCTGGGCCTGGGGCCTCCCCGCGCAGGTAGGAGCTGCCCCGGCTCGGGCCCAGTCCCGGCGGCCAGATTTCAACCCCCAGCGGCCCGCGGACTCTGCAGCCCCTTTTCCTCCTCGGCCCCGATACCCTGGCCAGGCCCCATCCCCGCGGGCGGTCCTTTCACCGTGCGCATTCCCAGCATCTCCTATATTCCTCTTGTAGACTCCACCTAGGTCCTCAAGGCGTCCCTCCCTGACCTTTACCTCCTGCCTCTCCGGGATGAATGGGGACGGTATAGGGGACGGGAAGCCAGCAGCTATGGGGGGATGGCGAATGGGGGGAGGGGAGGTAAAGGGCTGGGAAGGGGACATAGGGTGAGGTAGGCAGAGGCTGCAGGTTTTCCTGCAGGTCCCAGGCTTGGAATCTGTCAAGCCGCATTCTGTCGCCCGTAGCGACCGAGAAGTGTGTCCTGGGGCCGACTGTGTCCCCTGTTCAGCCAGGAGGCCTAGCACTCACAGAAGCACTCATTAGTATCCGTTTTCCCACCGCCAGTTGAGAGGTTATTCCCAATATATCTTGAATCTACTTGTTTGTTTGTTTGTTTGTTTGTTTGTTTTGCATTCCCAGACCCTCTGGTATAGTTCAGCTCTCTCCACTCTTCAAAGCCCAAACCTTGTCTACACTGGCTATGTTCATTTCCTCACTTCCCATTCATCCTTAAAACGGCTTGGTTTGGTCCTCTGTCTCTCACCCACTGAAACTGCTTAAGCCAAGGTCACTGGAGGCTGCCATGTGGCCAGCTCCAATGGACACTTTCCCGTTCTCCTCTTTTACCTTTTTATAGTGTTTAATGGTGTGTGTCAACTCTCCTTGAAGCGTTTTCCTAGTTTCTCTTTGGGCATTGTCTGCTCCTTCTTAATCTCATTTGCTTCCTCTTTCTTCCTTTAGATGTTGGTGAGGCTTTTAGTTCTGTCCTTCGCTATCTTCTCTCACTCTGCACTTTCTCCCTGGGTATTCTCCCAAGGGTTCACACACACATGCTGGTGACCTCCACATTTATAGACCCCTTTCCTGAACTGCAGATCCAATATCTAACTGCCCTCACCATATCCCCCTGGAAGTCTGACAGAAATTCCAAACCTACAGATGCACCCTGGTTATCTTTCCTATGTTCCCTCTCTACCCTTCTTCCAAGTCTGTTGTTCATTTAACTCTCAGAAATGTCTACTTCCTAATCAGTTACCCAGGCTAGAATCCTGGGCAACATTCTAGACTAACCTCTATTCCTCATTCTCCACATCTGATGTCCCCAGGCTCTGTCACATCCACTACCTACATATTTTCAAATCCATTCATTTCCCTCCATCCTCATTGCTAACAAACTTAATCTAGGCTACAACCTTTTTCTTCATTGACTACTCTCATAACATACCCCCCTCCCATAACTACTCTTAACACAGTGTGATCCTTTTAAAAAATGCATCTATCTGATCATTTATTCATTCAACAAATGTTCTTTGAGTACCTGATATATACCAGGTACTGTGTTAGGCACTGAAGACATAATTATGAGCAGAATAGACTGGGTCCTTTTCCCATGGAGCTGGTGGTAGAGGGATTAGATAAAAATAAAATTACCTATGTAATAAATCCTATGAAGGAAAGGTGAGTGGTGTCTTGGGAACACACAAGCACAAGCTAAACTGGTCTGGTGGGTAGGGAGAGTGGGTCAAGGAAGGCTTCTCTGAAAACATGACTGAGTAAGAGTTAGGTTGGGGGTAGGGGGAGGAGATTCTAGGCATAAGGGAAAGTAACATGTAAACACCTTGTGGAAGGAGACAACATGATGTTTTTGAGGAATTAAAGGCCAGTGAGGCTGGGGAGCAGAGTGCCAAGGCTGGAGAGGAAGGCAGGGACCAGATTGAGCAGGACAATTGAGACCATGTTACACATTTTGGTCTTAAAGTCTTAAGATTCTTGATGCTGGTTATTGATGGTAGTGGATATGGAGGGTAGATCAAATCTAGAAATGTTTTCAGAGAGAAAATTGTATCTGGGGACGGATTGAATATGGAGAGTAAGGGAGAAAGTAGTGTCAAGGATGGTATCCTTCTGGTTTGTACAATAGGATGGTTGATCATATCATTCCATAAGCCAGGATCTTGAAAGAGGACCCATTAGGGGTGGGCAAAGGAAACATGAATGGGTATGTTAGTTTGAGATTCTTTTGAGACATCCAAGTGGAGATGTTGAATAGAAAGAAATGTACATGTCTGGAGCTCAGATGAGGGGGTCTGATGGAGGTGTAAATTTGGAAGTCATTCGTGTACAGGTGGTAACTAAAGCTGTGGGCATGAATGAATACCTACATCAAATAGCAGGTGAGAAACACAAAAAGGCATAAGAACAAGCCAGGAGAAACTCCAGCTGGTAGAGGGAGATGAGCCAGCAAAGAAGGTCTAAGAAGCCACCAGACAGAAACTAGAGTATAGGAAGTAAATCAGGAGGTGTAGCATGTGGAAGCCATGGATGAAAGTTGAATAAGAGATTCATGGTATCAAATGTGCAGGGAATGCAACCCAGATGAGGACTGTGAGTGTCTATTGGATTAATGACATAGCAGTCATGTTGACCTTGGTTAGAACTGCTACAGAAGTGTGTTGGGAATGGAGGCAGGATTGGAAAGGGTTGAGGAGTGAGTGTGAGGTGAGGCAATGGCGGGTGGAGGAAGGGAATATGTGGAAGAGAAAGAGCAGCAAGTGGCCCTGGAGGAGGGGTGTTGGGACAAAAAAAAAAGATGGTTTTTAAGTTGGAGGATAGTGGATCCCATTGAGAAGGAGAGTTTGATTATCTGGAAAAGAAAATGCATAAACAGTGGTATACAATTCCTGGAAAGGAATGAATGGAGGGGCCCAAATGGTAGGTAAAGCAATTGGTTTTAGGAAAGAGATAAAAGGATAGGTCCTGAAGTCAGCAAGTTTGCACATTCGAGGACATTCTCCACTGATGGCCTCCATTTCCCCTGTGGATTAGGAGTGGGTGGTTATCCTCTGAGAGGGTGGGGAAGTGCAGGGGGCGGTCAAAGGAGAGTTGTGTTATATCTTGGCTAAAAAGGCCCTTCCTCAGGAAGGTCTTGGCTGATGTCTAGGCTAGAGTAAGCTTCAGGATCCTGTAGCACTCTGTTTCTCCCCCACCGTAATACTCAGTCATTTATTCAACAACTAGGGAGTGTTTTAGGTGCTAGTCTAGACACTGGCATGATAATGAATTGTATGAGTTGTTCAATGACTGTTTGATCACTAAACTGAGTTCCACTGGGGAGAAACCATTTCTGTACTATTCATCACTCCTCCCCATGCCATGCACAGTGCCTGGCTTATAGTAAGCTGCCAGGTTAGGAGACCCTTGACCTTGAGCAGGATTTCCCTCTCCACTGTGGTCTGATATCAGCTTTTTCAGGCTTAGTGGCCACTCTTAGTTTCTGCCCCGAATTCCCTGCTCAGCTCCCTGCCTTGAGTCAGAATCCATTTGGCTCTTCCCCTCCTTTGAGGGGCTCCAGGTGTGGCTAGCCCCAGGGAGAGAGAAGAGGTTGGATTGTGTGCCTTCTGAGGATACTGGGCAGCTGGCCATCCTTTGATCTCAAAGACAGTGTGGTCACCATCACCTCAGAACTTCCCATTCCTCCCCCAAAGTCTTAGGTGACCATCTCTGCCTGGTGGCCAGAGATGAACAGGGCTGCCCTGAAGCCAGCCTGGCTCTTTACTGTCCTAGTCTCACAGTGTGTCTGCCCTTCCCAGAGCACACACTTCCAGGTGCTAAGGAGGTGGGTTCCAGCCTGACCTCTGCAAGACCTGGCTCCATACACCACTGCTTCAGGGAAGGGCTTGTCATGGGCTGACAGCGTCCCGGGTCCTCTGCCTCCTGAAACTCGTGGAGGTGCCACTCTTGAACAGCATAAGAGCCAGGATGTCCAATAAAGCCAACATCCTCACTCTTCTTCCCCCTAGATCTCAGCCCACGCATGTCCATTACCCCAGGCCCATCCCACTTTCTTCTTGGGGACCCTTTATCTTCTCCAGCACCCTTTCTGCTCCCCACTGCCCATCCACAGGCCACGGGGTGCACAAGCCTGTCTTAGTGTCTCTTCCCAATGAGTTTTGAGCATCCTTGTTCCTCTCACCGCATCTGTCCCATCCATCCCCCTTTCCGTCCACACTGAGGGCCTGCTCTGTGGCAGGTGCACAGTGCACTCCCATTGTTGGTGAGAGTGTGGAGTTCTGATAGGATGTAGTCCAGGGTGTCATGAGGCACAAAGGAGGGAATGGTCACTGGGGGTCAGGGAGAAAGGACTGAACAAGAAAGACTTACTGCTCAGCAGCTGTGACCACTGAGCCAAGTTTTGAAACACGAAGCAGAGGTTCTCATGAAGGGAGATAGAATTCCAAAGTTGAGGGCAAACATAGAACCAGGGCTGTGAGAGTGTGACATGTTCTAGAATCCGCCAAACTCCATGTGGCTGGAGTGTCAGGTGTGAAGGAGGCAGGGAGAAGAACGTGGTCCGAGAGGTCACCAAGCATTGGCTCATGAGGCTCTTGGTGTCTTACTAATGAGCACGCATGTTATCCTAAAGGCAGCGGTGAGCCATCCAGTGTTTCGAACTGGGGAATTACACAATCTGGTTTCCATTTTTGGAAGACTACTGTGATTTTGGGTAGAGGCAGAGCTGTTTATTTTTCTCATTTGTGCCAGTGACCACGAATTTTCTCATTGCCCAGGTGGAGCCACGCAGAGCAGACCAGCAATTACACGCGAGGCAGACACAGATAGAAACCTTTTTCCTTTAGTTCACAGATGTGTGCATAGCATTGTGCTAGTCTGAGGAGCTGGAAGGGAGGAAAAGGTGAGCTATGGCTCCTGCCTCAGGACCACCACACCTGAGAGGCGGCACAGCCTTGCTCGGCAGCCTAAAACACCTCACTGGACCCTGTGCTCGGAGCTCAGCACTACTGTTAGTCAGCAGAGAGAACGGGGGGGTAGAGGGTCAGGGAGTGAGACAACTTCTTAGTGTGAACGGGGAGACTGGGAACTCTCGGATGAGAAATTCAGGATAAAGAACTGTACAGTGGGAGTCAGAGAGAAAGGTGGGTGTTTAGGGGGGCAGTCGGTGAGGGGGAGTTGTGTTGGGGGAGGGCTCAAGTAGGAAGAGAGAATCCGAGTGGTAGTATCAGGGAAGGGGAGGGTACCATCGTAGGGGCTGAGGGAGTGTGACCTGTGCTGTGGGGGGCCAGTGAGAGTCCAACGAGCGAGCACTTTCTAGTGGGGTCAGTTGAGGAGAGCAGCCCAATCAATAGTGGAAGGCCAGGGAGGATGGAATGGGGGCTTGAGGGTCACTCAGCGATGGGGCTGGAAGGACAAGTCGATGGACAAGGCGATTCTCGAAGGGCTTGCTAGGAGGGAGGAGGGGGTCCGAGGGGACAGGATGGGTGGGCTGTCACTGTGGAGGAACAGGTCCCCTCAGCTAACGGGCAGGTGGAGTTTGGTTGGGCACCCTGGGCGGTGGTTGAGACATGGTAGCATGATCAAAGTGTGTCTTCTGAAACTGGCAGAGGAGATGCTGAAACGGGGCCTGATGGGAGGACACATTCCCATGTTGATTCAGCAACTGTTGACTGAGGTCCTTCTCTGTGCCAGAACTGTGTTAAGCTCTAGGAATACTGCACTGAAAAAAAAAAAAAAAAAGACGAAATCCTTACACCATGGAATGGAAATTATTGTCATGAGGAGACAATGATTTTTAAAAAGCAATAATAATAGTAGTAGTAATAATAATAGCTTGTCAGATGATACTCAGTGCTAGAGAATATTTGGGGATTGCTGAGGGGGGCATAGTACCCTGAAGTTTTAAAAGGGTATTTAGGAAGGTCTCAATGAGAAAGTGGTATTTGGGCAAAGACCTGAAGGATTGGAGGGTCCAAGTCAAAGGCTCCTGCTGTGACCCAGGCTTGGGTTAATATAGTGGCTGGCATAGTGACTGGTGCCTGAGGTGAGTTACTTTATAGAAACAATCACCAAAGCATAGCTTCAGCTGGCCGAAGGAGCCATGCATTGGAGTCAGCCAAGGCCGTTCCTTTGTGACCTGCCTTCCCAGGGCCCTGTCCGGAGGGCCAGGTCTGTAGCTCTTCCCTGTCCTCACAGTCCGTAGTCAGGGGTAGGTGTGGGGCTGGTTGAGCCCAGCCAAGGGGGCTCAATGGTGGGACTGTGGATAGCTGTGTGGCAGGAGGAAGGGGGCAGTCAGTGTCCAGTGTCCGGAACACATGAGCCAGGCCCGCGTCAGCTGTGTCCCTGGCACACGAAGCTCCAGTCCGATGAGCTGGGGGTGGGGATGCACAGAGAGTCATTGTGTGAAGGCTCTGCTGTTGGGATTGAGGGAAAAGCAGGGGTTGGTTGTGCTCTCCTAGGAAGCTCAGGGCTGGGGATTTGGGGATGAGGTGGACTGTGGGTCTGGGCCTAGCCTGTGATAGGGATGGTGGTGATGGAGGGGGGGACAGGAGTTAAGGTCAGTCATGCTCATGTGAAAATAGCTCACCGGACACAGAGCGGTGTGTGCTGCCTACTGAGTGTAAGGGAGATGAGAAGGTGTGGGTGCAGCCCTGGGGCAGAGGCAGGAGTGCTGCTGTCCTGACCTGGAGGCTAACATGGTCTTCCCTTTCTCTCCAGCCCTTACCCCCTGCCCTGCAGGATCTTCCAAGGCCATGTCTGTTCCATCATCACTGAGCCAGTCGGCCATTAACGCTAACAGCCACGGAGGCCCTGCCCTGAGCTTGCCCCTGCCCCTGCACGCTGCCCACAACCAGCTGCTCAACGCCAAGCTGCAGGCCACGGCCGTGGGACCCAAAGACTTGCGCAGCGCCATGGGGGAGGGTGGTGGGCCTGAGCAGGGCCCTGCCAATGCCAAGTGGCTAAAGGAGGGCCAGAACCAGCTCCGGCGGGCTGCCACGGCCCACCGTGACCAGAACCGAAATGTGACCTTGACCCTGGCAGAGGAGGCCAGTCAGGAGCCTGAGATGGCACCCTTGGGCCCCAAAGGTTTGATGCACCTGTACTCTGAGCTGGAGCTTTCTGCCCACAATGCGGCCAACCGAGGGCTTCGAGGACCTGGCCTGATCATTAGCACCCAGGATCAGGGGCCGGATGAGGGAGAGGAGAAGGCCGCAGGGGAGGCCGAGGAAGATGATGAGGAAGACGACGAGGAGGAAGAGGAGGACTTATCTTCTCCCCCAGGGCTGCCTGAGCCTCTGGAGAGTGTGGAGGGGCCCCCTGGACCCCAGGCTCTTGCAGATGGTCCCCGGGAGCACAGCAAGAGTGCCAGCCTCCTGTTCGGCATGCGGAACAGTGCAGCCAGTGACGAGGACTCGAGCTGGGCTACCTTATCCCAGGGCAGCCCCTCCTATGGCTCCCCCGAGGACACAGGTACCTTGTGGAGGTTGACGTGGGGAATGCGGGAGGGCAGGCTTCCCCAGGGCCAGTCTGGGCGGGAGCCACAGAGCATGCGTCCTCAGCAGGCTATGCCCAGGGTTCCCCGGAGGAAACCATTTCTGCCTTCAGAGGGTAGTTGAAAAAGTTGGTCATTCTATCATCATGCATACCCTGATGGGCAGTGGGGTAGGTCTGTTTATGGGGCATTTACTAGGTACTAGCCGCGTGCTTGGAACTATCATAATTAATCTTCACAATGCTATGAGGTAGATACCATTATTATGCCCATATTGTGGATGGAAAAAAGAGGCCTGGAGAGATTTAGTGGCTTTCCCAAAATCACAGAGAGTCTGAGATCAGAGTAGAACTGAGATCCAAACCAGGTCTGAGTCCAGACCTGAGCTGTGGGCCCGTGTTAGCCTGCCACTGCACGCGGCAGGACGAACCAAGACACCTCGGGCCAGATTGTAACAGGTCAGCCCTGGAGGGAGCAGCAGCACCTCCCCACAGAGGCCTGTTTGGGGAGCGTTGTGTGCAACACGCTGGGCATTGCAAGGATCCTGTTTGAATCCTTTGTATCAGGAATAGGATACTGATACAAAAGTTAGGAAACAAAGGAACAATAAACATATGCTTCTTTGTGAGGTCCGGGTCAGAAGAACAGACATTCAGACTCCAAGGATTAATCATTAAATATGTCCCTTTTAAATAAATTGAGCCTCCACATTTGCTAGTATCTTGTAGAGGTATGGACAGGGTCGAGAGCCCGGGGGAGAGAGATAATGGGCTATAGCCACAGCTGGGTGTTTGGTCGATGTGGGTGTAAAGAAAGATTCGGAGATTAGGGAAGACTCCCCACACCAGGTGGCAAGCACCATAGCCAGACCCCAAACTGTGGGGCCTTTGCAGGGAGCATGTAGCTCAGAGGAGCCGAGGGCAGCGCACTGTCCCCTTTCAACACTCTTTCTGTAGACACTTTCAAACATATTCAAAAGTAGAGAGAATCACGAACCTTATTTACCTATTACCCAGTTTCAGTGGTTAGCAACACCTGCCTGATCTTGACACCTTTCTACCCCCACCTACTCCTGGACCCCAGCCTGGGTCATTTCGAAGCAAACATCCTTATTCATAAATGTTTGCCCAAACATTTCTAAGAGGTAAAACTCTTTAAATTATTTGTTTTTTTAATTTAAAGAGAGGGGAAGGGAGGGAGGAGAAAGAGAGGGAGAGAAACATCAAGGCGAACCGTTGGCTTTCTCATGTGCCCTGACTGGGGACAGAACCCACAGCCCAGGCTTGTACCCCAACTGGGAATCGAACCAGTGACATTTCAGTCTGTGAGGTGATGCGCAACCAACTGAGCAACGTTGGCAGAATCGAGATAAAACTCTTAAAAAATTCACACTATCATTATTATATCTATAAAAATTTAACAATAATTCCTTAGTATCTTCATAAATTTTCCCAGTTGTCTAGTAAATGTCCTTACCTTTAAAAAGGTTTTATTGTTTGAATCAATATGCAAATAGGTCCTGACCTTTTGCTGCTTGATATGACTCTTCAAGTTTCTTTTGATCTCTGTGTTATGCCTCCATCTCTGTCTGTATTTTTGCTTGTAGTTGGTTTTTAATTGAGCCACTGTGACGTTCGCCCTGGTTTTCCATGGTCGGATTCGCACATTCTCTCCCTATAGTGGTGTTGAACATGTTCCCCTTCCCCTGAATTTCCTGTAAATTGGTAGTGAGTTCGAGAGCCTTGATCAGATTCAGATTTGAGAGTTTTGCATTTTGTTTTTTCAAGATCACATTATAGGTGGTACTGAGTCCTATCGAAGGCCAAGTCTCTCTTTTTTGTGATGCCAGTGCCCTTCGATGGTCACTGCCTGGACCCCTTTAAAGGGAACAGCTGCTCGTCCAGTCCAGTTTGTTACTCACAGGGCCGGGCTTGGGAAGGTGTAGTCTGAATGGAGCCAGTCTGTGTAACTTTTCAAGGGAAACTGACAACTAGATATTTGTGTGAACTGTCCCAATTTCTAAATGTTAACAGCCAATTCTGTTTTTAATTTATTTTTTTATATATCACTAACCTTTTGTTTCTTTGTTAAAAAGATTTTATTTATTCATTTGAGAGAGGGGAAAGGAGGGAGAAAGAGAGAGAGAAACACCAATGTCCGGCCGCCTCTCATGAGGCTCCCACTGGGGACCTGGCCCGCGACCCAGGCATGTGCCCCGACTGGGAATTGAACTGGGGACCCTTTGATTCGCAGCCTGAGCTCCACTGAGCGCACCTGCCAGGTGTAATTCTGTTTTTTAAAAGCACCTTGTAAGCCACACACAGTTGGTCTGAGGATTTCGCCAGTCTGCAGGTTGCTGGTCTGCAACCTCTGCCTGAGGGGTGTGAGCCAGAGGCTAAACAATGGAGGAGCTGGGTGTTCAGGGGCTCCCGGGATGGCCGCTGTGGTGCCACACCTGTGAACCTTCTGGGAGCAGGAGGGTAGAACTGCTGGAGACCTGAGAAGGGTATGCCGGGCATGGGCAGTGACCTTGGAGGCTGTGGAAACTGAGGGTAGTGGTGTGGGGCCGGCCTAAGGAAGGGCTCGCTCTTTTGTGTTTGTGTTACCATAACCATGAAGACAACACAGTAGGTCTAGACTCTGTAGGAATGGGCTAGAATTGAGCAAAAATTATTTTTTAAATATATTTTTAAAGATTTTATTTATTTACTTTTAGAGGGAGGAAAAGGGAGGGAGAAAGAGAGGAAGAGAAACATCAGTGTGTGAGAGAAACATCAGTTGGTTGCCTCTTGCATGGCCCCAACTGGGGACCTGGACTGCAACCCAGGCATGTGCCCTGACTGGGAATCAAACTGGACACCCTTCAGTTTGCAGGTCAGCGCTCAATCCACTGAGCCACACCAGACGGGGCCAAAAATTATTTTATTATTCCGATTTTAAGATCTCCCCAAAGTTGTTGACTGAATACGTAAGTGCATGAATGAATGAATGAATGAACTTGACTACCTGTATCTGTACTCTGTGCCAGGCCTTGTCCTAAGGGCTAGAAATGCATACTATAGGGGACAGGTGTTACTGCCCTCATGGCCCTCCTAGTCTAGTGGGGAGTCAGAAGTACACAGGCACTTAGAACCAGCCTGACGCACTTGGGGGTCGGGGAGGTGCAGGTGGGGCGCCTGACCCTGCCTGTATTTGTGTTTGGTGGCAGTGGGGTGGATTAGTTTAGAGAAGTGACCTTTACACTGATGCCTGAAGGAGGAGCTGGTAATAGCCAGGTGAGGATAGAGGGGAGGGATGCTGGGCTTGGAGAGGATGAGGGGCATGCCCCAGCAGGGAGAGAGAGAAGGGGTTTGAGGGTGGTCAAAGGTAGGCTAAGAGGCTGGTTAGGGGCTCCTGATAGCACCCAAACTCTGTGGGGGGATTTGGATTCCATCCTGAAGGCAAGGAGAAGACAAGAGTATTAAACTGGAGAGTAACTCCATTAGTTGAGCATTTCAGAACAATCATCCGGACTGTGATGTGCAGCCCCGACTGGAGGAGAATAGACTAGAGGGAGACCACTGTGAAGCTGTCACAATGATCCAGGTAGGAAATATTAGTAGTCTGGGTTATGGTAGTGGCTTGGAGGTAGGTAGTGCTTGGAGGAGATGTGCCAAGCTCCAGAAGGGCCTCCCAGATGGTCAAGGCAGGAGAGTGGCCCCTCCAGGCCAGATCGGAAGGAAGAAGCTCTTTAAAGCAGGAAGGTACAGGCTGATAGAGATGGCAGATGGATTGGTGTGTGTGACTCAGTCCGAAGATGGTGAATTGGTCCTCAGATTTAAGAGGTGTATGACCTTCATAAAGAAGAGTGTGGCTGTGGAGGGCACGGCTGCCCTAGGTGCTGATGGTTTGGAAGCTTTGGCATTTGAGCCCGGAAGGCAATGGAAGGTATCTGGGGAAGAGCAGGCATTTCAGTTCCTTAGGGCCTGAGGTGAGGGAGGGTGGGTGAGAAGAGGTGGTTGTGGCTGTCTAGAAGGCTGGAGGGGCAGGAAGAGCCCACCTCCTTTTGAGGTGAGGATGGTGAGGCGCCTGCCCAAATAACTCACCTCAGGTGTGCAGCCACCTTGATGTAGCCACGCCCACTCCCAGCCCCTCTGTGCCTGGTTGCTCAGCAGCCTGGGTCTGGGGACTGCTTGTCCCTCATTGCTGCCTCTTGGACCAGTCAGGATTCCTGGTTTCCCTGGTAACGTGAAGCACGTCAGCAGTCTGGGCGCTCCCAACCGGCCTTAGTGCTGCGGGTTGCCGAGGAGACGCTGCAGCCTAGCTGGTCCCTGGCAGGTGAGGGGGTTGGTACTGGGAAGCCCCAAGCCCAGCCCCAAGATTGCTGGGGCCCAGAACCTCAAGGCCCAATCTCAGACGCGGACTGTTGGGCAAGTTCTGTGGAGGGGAGGCAGCCCTGGGAGCCTTGAAGCCACGCCCTGATTGTGCTGAGAGCTCCAGGCTTGCAGGGCCCCAGGTGGCTGGGCTGTTTCCCAAGGGGCTGAGCCTCCCTGTGTCCTTAAGACAGGGCTTGATTGTGGCACTGAGGTGACCGCTGTGGGGTAGGGTGGCATGGAGATTCGGGATTGGGGGAGGGGAGCCAGGATTAAAAAGAAGAGATGTGAGTAAGAAGGTCTGGGGTCTCAGGAGCACCCTCCCTCCTCACCCCAAGGAAATCTCCTCCCTTGGTGGTCTGGGCCCCTCCCTAGTGAGCTCCAGGCGGAGGAGGATCTTGCCAGGCAGGCGCTCTGCCCTGGTGAGAAGGGGGTGGGATGAGCTTTTCTCTGCAGCCCAGCACCAGGCTGTGAGCCCAGCTGGCTGGGCTGGAGGGGCTGTGAGGAGGGAGGGTGGAGGCAGGAGGGGCTGGGAACGAGCGCCATGTTCTCCCAGGACTTTTTCCTGGCCATCATCCTGCAGGACAGCAGCCCAGGTGAGGGATGGTGTGGGGCCGGGCATGATGCGGGTTGGGGCTGGCGGGGAGGGCAGAGGCGGAAGAGGCATGAGCTGGACTGTAGGGCTGGAGTGGTGTCAGCTGGGGGAGGAGGGATGTATGTCACATGTGCACAGAATGTTTGCCTGCATCTTAAGGGTCAGGGTATGAGTGTCTGTGGGGTCCACACACACATGGCAGAGGTTGCTGTATGTCGTGTGTCTGTGTGTGCACTCACTATGTGGTACCTGCACTTGTGTGTGTGGTCCCTGTGTGTGGCCACAGTTGGTATGTATAGCTGTGTATGCGCACACCCCTGTGTATGGTGTCTGCATTAGTGTATGGCTGGAGTTGATGTGTGTGTGTGTGTTTGCCCATTTTCTGTGTGCACATACCATTGTGTTTGTGGTGGCTGCACAGGTATGTGGTAGGGTTTTATGTGTCTGTGCACGTGTGTGCAAGAGCTGATAACGGTGTGCATCTGAGATACAGGTAAGTATGACAGAAGGTCATTTGGGTCATCTAACCTCCCTTCCTTCTCTCTCTCACCTCTGTGCCTTCCTCCTTCCCTGCATGTGGCCACATCAGCCACCAGCAGGGCCCAGGAGGAGGCCCGAGCCATGTTCCCTGCTGGCAGCCCCCTGTGTGGTAACTCCAGACTGCAGGCTCTAGGAGGAATCAGGAAGCATGTTGTACTGGAGCCCTTCCTCCGCCCCCTCTCCACCATGGGGTCTTAGGGAGGGGACTGGGCATACGCCCCCACTGTCTGCTTTTTGGGTGGGCAGACTCTCACTAAGCCTCCACCTCGCAGATTCCTTCTGGAACCCTAACGCCTTCGAGACGGATTCCGACTTGCCGGCTGGATGGATGAGAGTTCAGGACACCTCAGGGACTTACTACTGGCACATCCCGACAGGGACCACCCAGTGGGAACCCCCTGGCAGGGCCTCCCCGTCCCAGGGGAGCAGCCCCCGAGAGGAGTCCCAGGTAAGCCTCACAGGCCTGTCGCATTTTAACTGGGGTGCAGGGGTGGTGTTGCTGAAGCAAGATGAGCTGCCCACTCACCCCTCCCTTCCCCCCTCCTAGCTCACCTGGACAGGCTTTGCTCACAGAGAAGGCTACGAGGATGGAGAATTTTGGAAGGTGAGTGGGGGGACCTGCTTCACAATGGGGGAACTGCAGAAGGGGCATGATTTTGGCCCTGACTCTTTCTTCTTCCCAAGGATGAACCCAGTGAGGAAGCGCCAATGGATTTGGGATTGAAGGACCCTGAGGAGGGGACACTGCCCTTCCCTGCTCAGAGCCTCAGGTGAGGGGGAAGGCTCAGTGCGGTGGGCTGGCACTAAGTGGGATGAGTCTATTTGGAAGGGGCCTTGACAGAGCTCCTGTACCAAGTGTCACCATTTACCTCCAGCCCAGAGCCACTGCCCCAAGAGGAGGAGAAACTGCCCCAAAGGAATGCCAACCCAGGGATCAAGGTTTGTGCAAGACCATCGCCCATGCCCCAAGCTGGAGCCCCTCTGTGTGCAGGAGAGCCCCTTGTGTCATGTCCTGGGGGCCATCTCTGGTCTAATTATAGCTCCCCAGGTCCTCAGTTAGGAGCTCTTACAGTCTCAGCATAGACCCCTGTGTCTGGGCTGGCGGCTCTTCAGTTTTTAATGCAACCAGTGGCCTGACAGGGGGCCCTCTAGCAGGGGTCTCCTCTGAGACCATCACCCCTCCTGCCAACTATGTGCTCTTTGGGGAGCTTCTCAGGCTTGGCTTAGAACACCCACCTACCACATTCTGAGTCAGGGACTCTCTGGTCTCAGCAAAGCCCCCTGTGTCCTGTTTTGACACTCCTCCAGTTGCAGCTCAGACCCTCTATCCCCCACCCCCTCTTCTGTGTCTGGCAGTGTTTTGCTGTGCGCTCCCTTGGTTGGGTGGAGATGACCGAGGAGGAGCTGGCCCCTGGACGCAGCAGCGTGGCTGTCAACAACTGCATCCGTCAGCTCTGCTACCACAAAAACAATCTGCACGACCCCATGTCTGGGGGCTGGGGGGAGGTGAGGGCCCCAGTTGGTGGGCTGTGGTGAGGGGTGTGGTGTGGTGAAGTGAAGGAAAGAGAGTGTGAGAGATGAGAGAGCCGAGCTGCCCAGGCAGGGTCTGGGGGTGGGAGGCGTTAACTTGCCCCAAGTGACAGCCCTGTGGGATGGATATATGACCCCTGGTTAGGACCTTAGGAGATAGTTGTCTCACCAGGAGGGGGGGATAAAAGGAGGAAGCGATGACAGGTGTGACCTCTACTGAAGTGCAGCCTGTAGGGTGGGTGAACTGACACCCAACCAAGGGTGCCAGAGCTGTGGCTGACCTCCTCTGAGCTGGAGGTGGCAGAGCTCAGCCACCTTCTCAGCTGGGCCACCAATGCGTGCCTGCTTCCTGGGCCTGCAGGGAAAGGATCTGCTGCTGCAGCTGGAGGATGAGACGCTAAAGCTGGTGGAGCCACAGAGTCAGGCCCTGCTGCACACCCAGCCCATCGTCAGCATTCGCGTGTGGGGCGTCGGGCGGGACAGTGGAAGGTGGGCGCAGAGCCTGGGGCCCTAGGGTGGGGGCTCTTCCAGCAGCCAGAGTGGGCCCTCTTCCCTGACTCTGTTCTTTGCCTCTCTTGTGCTGCCGGACCCAGAGAGAGGTACTGTGCCTATTTACCTCCTCCCTCCTCCCATACCTGGACCTGATGCCTCAGAGCGCCCCAGTTCCTCTGTTATTCCCTGCCCCTTCCTGCCCGCTGTGCTTGCCCATTCTCCCCCACCTCGACATGCTTGCCTCTCTATCCTCCAGCCAGAGGCAGTACCCACAGGACACCATCTGAGGGCAGAAGCCCCGGAGGAGGGTGTGGGTGTGGCGGGAATGAGGCTCAGCAGTGGATGACACTGGGAGACACTGAGGTGCCCCTCCATCAACAGGGACTTTGCCTACGTAGCTCGTGATAAGCTGACCCAGATGCTCAAGTGCCACGTATTTCGCTGTGAGGCACCTGCCAAGAACATCGCCACCAGCCTGCATGAGATCTGCTCTAAGGCACGATCCCATCTGCTCCCTGGATTCCCTGCCACCTTTGCTCTACAGGGGTCTACAAGGGCGTGGGTGGGGTCACTGAGTGGGGGTGGGGGGCTCCAGGGCAAGGAAGCCCTAACAGACCCTCCTTCATTCCTTTCTTCCTCTCCTCCCTTCCTCAGATCATGGCTGAACGGCGCAACGCTCGCTGTTTGGTAAATGGACTCTCCCTGGACCACTCTAAACTTGTAGACGTCCCTTTCCAAGGTCAGTGTTACAACCCTTCCACATCCAGCTCAGCTTTATTGACAAAGGTAGAGTGACCTAAAAAAGAGACATGAGTGGAGGGACTTTGGTTGACGGGACAAATGGGGAAAGTATGGAAGTAGGGCCTTGGCTGGAATGTCCAACTCATACCCTGGTGGCGGGGACTGGGGGTGAGCAAGACTGACCTCTTCTTCTTCCCCACAGTGGAATTCCCAGCACCTAAGAATGAGTTGGTGCAAAAGTTCCAAGTCTATTACCTGGGGAATGTTCCTGTTGCTAAACCTGTTGGTATGTATGTTCTTCACTCGGGCACCACTACCCCGGTTCCGAAGCTCTGCTCCCGCCCTCTGCCTTCCAGTGCCTCTTTCACCAGACTTTCCTCATGCTTGATGTCACCCTGTCCTTCAAAATGCATCCCACCTCCTGTATGTCTGTCCCAGCTGCACTCTGTGTCCTGCGTATCATGGCAATTGACATACCTTTACGGAGTGTGAACCAGTGAACCAGGCACATGGGGAGACCCACTCCGGAATCCTGCAGAAAAGTTTTGATTACATTGGAAGGCAGGTCTTAGATGATCGGAGACACCAGGCAGCAGCTGGGAGTGGGATTTGGTATTACAGCCCCAACTACGGACTGTGAGCATCTACAGAGGAGGCAGTGAGCACAACTGTCACATGCTTCATTGCTTATAACGTTCTTCCTTATGTATTATGTCATTTAACTCTCGAAGACCCTATGAGGTCGTGCTTATGATAATTCCCATTTTGTAGATATGAAAACTGAAGGTAGAGACTATCTGATTTATATTTCCAGGACATTCACAGCACCTGTTATTTATTTGTCCATTCACTTAGCAAATACCTGTGAAGCCTACCACATGCCAGGTCCTGGGAGAACAGTGGCCACAGTTCTGCTTTCATGAAGGTTATAGTAGAAAAGAACAGGAACTAGTCAAATCACACAAATAAATGTATAATTATAGATTAAGTTATTCCTTGAAAGAAAGTAGCAGGGTGCTATGAAACTTTGTAACAGAGCAACCTTATTTAGTCCAGGGAGTCAGAAGAGACTTACTTGAGAAAGGTGACATTTGAACTGAGATAAAAAACGAAGAGGAACTAATGTGGGAATGTGGGAGGGAGGAGTCAGGTAGAGGAAGATTGTTCCAGGCATAATGAAGGGCATGTGTGGTGGCCCAGAGCAGACGACGCTTCGGCGGTTCGGAGGCACAGGGAGAGCAGTGCCAGGTGCGGCTGGGAGCTGAGCAGTGGTCAGACCGCGTGGAGCTCTGGAAGAGGTTTTAGGAGAGTTCTCAGCATAGTCAGATTTGAATTTTGTAAAGCTTACTTTGTCTGTACCACACCAAGGGGAATGTTCAGTAGGTGGAAGTGGATGTAGAGAACTCAGGAGGATCTTGCAGTGGTGGTGGCCGGTATGGAGAGATTCTTGGCCTCTGATAGAAATGAAAAGGAGTGTGTTGATTCAAGAGATAGTTAGACAGGTGGCCAGAAAAGATAGAGAGAGAGAGAGACCCATTTAGACAATTGAAATCAATAATAAGCCTTGGTGATTGATGACTGTGGGGTGAGGGACAGGGGCATTAAGGGTGTCTCCTGGCTTCCTGGCTTTTGAACTGAGTGGAGAGCAGTGCCATTCTGTAAAGGTAGACCCTGGAAGAGGCCACTTTTGGGTTGTCGATTGTGACTTTAATTTTAAACATGCAGAGTTTGAGCCCTGGACAGTGTGGCTCAGTTGGTTGGAACATTGTCCCTTAAACCAAAAGGTCATGGTTCGATTCCTGGTCAGGGCACATGCCTAGGTTATGGGTTTGGTCCCCATACAGGAGACAACTGATCAATATGTTCGCTCTCTCTATCTGTCCCACAGTCCCCTAGCCCTTTTCTCTCTGGAATAAATAAATAAATAAATACATACATACATACATGCAGAATTTGAGGTGGCTTGGGCAAGCTGAGCGGCAAATACAAGTAGGCAGCTGGATTCAGAGGAGAGGTCTGGGCCAGAGATACAACTGTGGGCATCACTGGGTTATAGAGGTAGTCAAGGCCACAGTGTGGAGGAAACTGACTCCTGAAAGTGAGTGGGCAGCCTGTTATGTCCAAAGGCACTTAGAAAGACCTCAGCAATGTTTGGTGAATGGTTAAACAAGCAGATGAGACTTGCCTTAGGTGACATAGTCAGGGGACAGTAGTCGTAAGACTCAAACCCTGGTAGTTCTTTCCTCTTCCCCGGAAACCATGCTGACTCTAATGACCGGCATCTTAACATTTAATGAATGTTAAGACGAAACCTCTCAGGAAGGGTAGGGATTGAGCTGGAGTTCGAAGGAAAGCTGAATTTGCAGAAGAGTGGCTGTTCCAGTTGGATCCGACAGGACTGCTACAGACGTGCAGCTGGAGGTGAGAGAAGTGCGCCGAGCGAGCGAGCAGGAAGGAGGCTCGGCTGCCCCTACGCCTTCGCTCTCATTTCCTTCTCCGTCCCACCCTCAGCTTTGAAACCCTCGTTGCCTCTTCCAGCTGTTACCCCTACTCCCGTGTTCATCTCCCAGAGGTTCTCCCCACATTCAGTCATCTGTCTGCAACCCTCTGTTGCCTGTCAGCTCAATGGGTCTGCTGCGATGAAGCCAGTTCTTTCACACTAGTAGGCTCTAAGCTCACTTCTTGCTTTATCTTCTGCTCCCTTTTCTTTTTAAAATTTATTGATTTGAGAGAGAGAGAGAGAAACATCGCTTTGCTGTTCCACTGATTTATGCACTTATTGGTTAATTCTTATATGTGCCTCGGCAAGAGATGGGACCTGCAACCCTGGCATATTGAGATGGCTCTCTAACAAACTGAGCTACCCTGCCAGGCTGTCTGCTTCCTTTTTAAACTCCAGGGGTTTAACACTGGCTCCTGCTAAAGCTCCAATGTTCATTTACTCAACAAGCAACTACTGACTGCCTGGTTTGTGCCAGCCACTCTTCTAGGTTCTTGGTATGTGTTCATGACGAAACCAACACAGATTCTTGCCTTCAGGTATCTGATACACTAGCCAGGAGAGACAAACAATAAAATAAGTTGTGTAGTATGCTGGAAGGCAATAACCGATAGAAAGGAAAAATGGACAGAAGGATAGGGGAGCAGGGAGTGTGAGACTCAGAGTTAGGGTGCAGGTTTCAGTCCTGTGTTGCTGCCAATGCAGGCTTTTTCCAGGCCCTGTTCTTCCACTTCTTCCCACCACCTCCCGGCTGATCCGCCCCACGCTGTGAGACCAGGTCCCACCCTCACAGCCCCATCTGCTTCTTAAGCAGTTTGACTTTGATGTCTCATCCACAGCTCATGATCTTTGAGACTTCTTATTAACTGTCCTCAATGTCATAAACATCACAGCTCTCTGCAGACTTACCTGGCTCACCTGCCCCTACTTGCATTGATGCCCTTCTCAGGGCATCAATTGATGGACTCTCAGGTTTACTTGGTTATCCCAGTTTGGCTGTATAGGCACAAGTTACCTTGAGGGTGACTTGGTCACATTTCTGGAAATCCTTCAGCAGATAAGCCTTGTGCTAGGATTGGCAACATAGAGATGAATGAAACTTGGTTTTTGTCCTCGAGATGGCCAGTTGAATGTGGAAAAGGTTGTCCAGCCATTACAAGATGTTTTGCTAAGAGTTGACCCAGCAATGTCCTCTCTGCCTTGTGGTTGGGCAGGGAAGGCTTCCCAGGTAGGGTCTGGGTGAGCCCTGGAGGATTTGAATCGGGAGTTTCTCAGTCAAGGGGGTAAGGTGAGGTGCACTCCGGACAGAAGCTTATCCCTCAGTGACAATCTGTGTCCCTCGAGGACATCCTCTTCTCTCAGTTTATATTCCTCTTCTTGTGTGGAGGACTGGGTTGTCCAAAGATAGAAAGATGATGTTTGGTGAATGGTTAAACAGTAGATGAACTTGCTTTATCTAGGAGAGTTCCCTCAGTGACAATCTGTGTCCCTCGAGGACATCCTCTTCTCTCAGTTTATATTCCCCGCCTGCCTCGCAGGGCATTTGCCAAGATGAGATGTTAATAAATGCTCCATAAGTCATTTGAAGCTCCAGGAGCAGTAAAATAGGAGGCTCGACAGCTCAGATGAGGCCAGTTTTTAGAGGACTTGCATGCTGGGGAGCTTGGCCTTGATCCAGCCAGAGGTAAGATGAGCAAGGCCAACATGGGGGAGGACTTTCGAGGATATTGGTCCTCTGGCCAAAAAGAATCCATGTGGTCTGCTTCTAGTGAGAGCCTGGAAGCACTGAAAGGGGCAAGAGGGCCCAGGAGGGGACCACGGAGGTGTGGGCTTTTGTGCTGGCGTTGTTCACTCTCAGCTCTTCGCTGGAAGGGCGAAGATACCTAGGTCACACAGCCAGTCCTGAGTGGCTGGACCTGGAACCCACGCCTCCACCACGCCTTGTGCTGCTGCCTGGGTTCTCCGCTAGTGCAGGTGGAAGTGGAGGAAACCATGGTGTTTCAAGGGAAAGCTGATTGATCCAAAAGCCAGGTCCTTGGGTTCCTTAGTCTTTGAGCACATTATAGAAATTATCTATGATTTCTATATAGATAAATTAGATTTATCTATACAGGAACTAAGGTGGCAACTGAGATCTTGACAGCTCTTCTAGTTCTGGAAGCTAGGAATGTAGAGAGGAGGCGGGGAACGGCTGGCTGGGAGCCCAGGCTCCGTCTGGCAGCAGACTGCCTGTGTTCAGATCCCCATTCCTCCGAGTGACCTAAGGTTTATTACCTGATTTCTAGGAGTGTCTTATCTATAAAACTATGATAAGAGAATCTATTGTGACATTGTTGTAAGGCACTTAATGATTTAACGAAGTGTGACCCAGGAGTAAACATTTCCTCAAATGGGTATCTCAAAAAAAACAAAGGTTGGGTCTACGGAGGAGGACTGGCCCGAGGAGTTGGTGTGGGAATTGTCCTGTGAAGCACAAGGTCTAACAGTGGAGGAGTAAAATGTGTTGGAGGTCAGAGCTTTGTTGTGGGGGAGGAGCAAAGGGTCAATTTGTTTAGGCCGCTGCAAGAAGAGAAAGAATTGGTGAAGAAAACCAAGGTTAGGATTCAAGATGGAAGAAACCAGAAAAGTGGCAATTCCCTGAAGCTGAGGAGGAAAGTACCAAGGAAGGGAAACCTGTGCAGCACAGGTGGTGGTGGTGGTGTGTGTGGGGGGGCACTGTGGGTGGATGAAGTGGGAATGGAGCAAAGGCCCTGGGTTTCACTGGGCAGAGCTGGAAAGTCTAGGGTAGATTAGGGGTGTCCACTCTCCACTTTCAGTGGTGCCATGCTTGTGTCCATATCTTCTAGGGGTAGACATAATAAACGGGGCCCTGGAGTCTGTCCTGTCCTCCAGTAGCCGTGAGCAGTGGACGCCAAGTCACGTCAGTGTGGCCCCTGCCACCCTCACCATCTTGCATCAGCAGGTAAAGACCTGGAGTGGCAGAAGGCATGGCAGTGCTTTGCCATCAAGGGGAGACTGTGGGGTGAGGGCAAGAGTCGCCCATAAGATGGACGTGCCCAACAGAACACAGAGTCTGGCTGTTCCTTACTAACTGGGTCTCCTCCCTCCAGACAGAGGCGGTGCTGGGAGAGTGTCGGGTACGTTTCCTCTCCTTCCTAGCGGTGGGCAGAGATGTCCACACATTTGCATTCATCATGGCTGCTGGCCCAGCCTCCTTCTGCTGCCACATGTTCTGGTGCGAGCCTAATGCTGCCAGCCTCTCAGAAGCTGTGCAGGCTGCATGCATGGTAAGTGGGTGGGGTGGTGACACTGACCCCAGGTGGGGCAGGCTGGAGAATGACTGTCCCCCCATCTCTCTGCAGCTCCGCTACCAGAAATGTCTGGATGCCCGTTCCCAGGCCTCCACATCCTGCCTCCCCGCACCCCCTGCCGAGTCCGTTGCCCGCCGTGTGGGGTGGACTGTCCGCAGGGGTGTTCAGTCGCTGTGGGGCTCCCTCAAGCCCAAACGCCTGGGGGCCCACACCCCCTGAAGCCCTCAGTTCTCTCTCCACCTGCTTGCACTGGGCCCCAGGGAACTCAAGGCTGTAGGGCAGGGAGGGGCCCCAGAGGTTATTCTTAGGCCTCAGCCCCAGCCCCCTCCCAAACTGCCCTCCTCAGTAGCTGGGTTCCCTGCCGAGGGGCTGGAGAGGAAGACCTCTGATCCCTTCAAAGAAGCGACAGTACTGGATGGATGACAGGAGCAACAGGAAGCAAGGCCAGCCCCACCCCACCCCACCCACTCCCCCTTTCCCGTATTTCAGGTGGAGCAGAAGGAATTCTTCTAAGCCAGGCCCCATCTTTGGGGGGTCCAGCAGGGACAGAAGGAGGGGACCGGCCCAGACGTGGACCCCCTCCCTGCTGCCCCATGGCACCTCTGCTGTACTGATATCACTAATAAAGTCTGTCTGCCCTGCTGAACTGTGTGACTCCCTGACTTCCTGCGTCCCCACCACACCATCACCCCCATCACCCTGATGCCTTGGTTAGGATCGTGTTCCCCAGGTGCCCTTGCCCTGCCTGCCTTGAGAGAAGAAACTGGGACAGTCACAGAGGGAGAGGATCTGAAGTCCAAGTCTCTTATCTTTATTTTACCAGCCTGGCAACCAGGCAGGCGGCAGCAGCAGTATAATGTTCTTGGCTGGCCAGCACAGGCCTGGGGCGGCAGCTCCGTCTGCTCTGCCCAGGGCAGTGCCAACGGAGACCTCTGCTCCGTGTGAGGGAAAGGACAACAGCCCCAGGACAGGCAGAGCCGCCAGCCCTCCTTCATGTCTTGCCTACCCAGCTCTAGAAAAGAAGGTGCTGTCTCCCCCGTGTACTTGGGGCCCAGGATAGACTCTTCACTGTTGTCCTTCCCACAGCGGCCCTTTGGGGGTTTTGCTCCCTACCTAAGACACGCACTTTCCCAACTGGGTGCTAGCAGAGTGGCGGGCGAGGCCGCAGACTCCGGACCTCAGAGACACTCGCATTTGACAACAGGTGGCGACACAGAGCAGGGCTGTCGGAGCGGGCGGATAGCTGGGCGCACAGAGTAGCGAGGCGGCAGGGTGTGCCACAGGGCTCGGAGGGCGGGTGGCCCTTATGGTAGAGAAACCAGAAGGTCTGGAATAGCTGTGCGTCTCCCCGCATGCGGTATACCAGGTCGTGCCAGGCGGCAGGCAGCGCACTGGGCAGCCCGTAGGTTTCTCGAGCCCTGTACAGGAGATGCCAGTGTGGAGTGGCTCCGGGCTGATTAGCCTGTGTCAGGTTCAGAATGTAGGTCTCATGATCTAGGACCACGTGAGAGCTCCCCGGGTAGTTGCCATCTATCTGGTAGACCCGGTAACCTGCAAGGAGGGAGGGGCGGCTGAAGATGGAAGGAGCAACAGGAGGGAGGGGCCTCATGTCCAGCCCCTTGCTGGCCTAGGCTCCGACCCTGCCCCTTTAACTCATGAATTTCCCATATTTCAGCAACTGCCCTCAGTGTCACTCACCAGGATTAAGGCTGATGTAAGTGGTGGCGCTGGGTGCCAGGAAGGCCACAGATAGTGGACGGCTCAGGGTTTCCTCGTCATAGAAGACTTCGAATTCATCTACGTGGGTATGGCCAAAGAATTGACCAGCCAAGATGTTCTCGTACCTAGCCGGAAGACAGGAATCATACTCAAGGTTTTAGGGACGAGGCTGGGATGCCTCCTTTTCATCCCATTCAGATAATTAGCCTCCTCACCCAGATGGGCAGCAGGGATGTTGACAGGCTCAAGGGAATTTCAGTCACCAGGCTCTCGGTCCCCCATCCCCATCTCCCTCTTACCTGGCTACAATTCGGTAATAATTCCAGCTCCAGCTCTTCAGGCAGTGCCCTGGGGGGATGTGGCCAATTATGTGCACCTTTGGGGAAAGATAAGGGCAGTTATCAGGGCGAGGAGGCGTTCAGATAGCCCTGGCCAGCATATTGGGTCCTCATCTCTTCTACACTGGCTGGTACTCCTGGCCAGAGAGAGGGGGAGTGGACAAAAGGACTTGTAAGGGGCACCTTGAGCTGGACCCCCCAGAGAAGACCATTGTTGGAAGCTTCTCTGCTCACAGGTGCTCCAGCTCCAGACAGGAGTCTGCTGGCAAGAGCTGGGCCACCTCCACCACCATGCTCCCCACTCGTGCTCACCTTGTCTCCTCGGTCCTCAGCAGCCTGAAGCTCCCCCACCAGCCACTGAAGCTGTCCAGCGGGATCTGTGGAGTTGATCAAGAGCCAGAAGTTCTCACGGGAACAAAAATTCATATTGAGAGAGATGAGGCGGAGGCCGGGGTATGGGGAAAGGGCATAGAACCCCCCAATTCTGAAACAAATTAAATACGAGGGGTCAATACTCAATCAAAATCCTGGTTCTGCTTGCCCAGTCCTGTGCTAGACATCTGGATGGAGGGCAGAGGCATACAGAACATTATCTCTACCCTCGAGGAGCTCACGTTCTAGCTCAACACCAAACAGCGTGATGATAGGGCCCAAGAGGTTGAGGAGTAGTTCAGAGGGCTAAGGGCTCTAGGAGTTCAGGGTAGAGAGAAAAGTGAGCTAGACTGGGACGCGAAGGCCACTCAGGAAAGATGACATGGGCGTGGTTAGGTGGGGCAAAGGTGGGATGTCCAACAGGAGGGGAAGGCGTTCTACAGAGGGCCAACGTGAGCACAGCTGAGACTGGCACGGAGAGGGTGTGCTGCCAGCCCTGGGAAGGACGGTGGGAGATAAGGGCAGAAGTGGAAGGTGGAGTCAGATTGGGGGGGGGCAGGGAGGAGAGGGGAGGGCTCCTGCTGGAGCAGTCGGAGATGACGCGCAGGTTCCCCGCTCCCTTCACTTTCATCCACCTTTCTTTTCCATTCCAGTTTCCCCAAGGAACTCAAGTACCTGAGGGTCCGAAGGGCTTTAGCAGGCAGCCAGGGCTCCCATGCCTTGGCCATCGCCTCATAGAGCCAGCAGGAAGAGTGGTTGCCTTCTATGAACGGGGGAGGGAAGCTGTTGACGGGTGTGCTTTCGTGGTTGCCTACAGCAGGATACACAGGCACCGGCCCCAAGTACTTCTTCACAAGGGCTGTCACAGTGGTCAGGGCCTGCAGCTGGTCCTGACGAGTCTGGTGCCAGACGTTATGTGCAGGGATGTCTCCTGTCCAGTACACCATATCAAAGGGGCCGGCGGGGCCCAGCCCGCTCAACAGGCTCTCCAGAGTCCGCAGGGGCAGGTCGCACTTGCTGTACTCACCCCAGTACCCAGCACCCGGGCGGGAGGAGGGTGGCAGACCAGAACCCCGGCGGCAACATAGTGGGTCCTCGCAGTCAGGGTCCGTGCCCTCCAGATAGTCCCGATCCCAGTGCAGGTCAGTGAGGAAGAGGACCCGGCTGACAGGGGCACCTGGGGCTGGGGGATTGGGCGGCTTGGGGGATGGCTTCGGCACAGCTGGCAAAGAGATGTTCCAAGATGAGAAAATGTCCCAATTCCCACAGGTGGACCCCAGGAGCAGGCCACAGGCCTCAGATGGGCTCAGTACTGAGCGTCGCCACACCTCCACCATGTCATCTTCAAAGAGGTGGACAGCTGACTCGCACACAGTAGGTGGTGCTATCTTCAGCAGCTTGCACAGCTTGATGGCCAGGGAACCCACCCGGGCCACATTGACCTCATTCTGTGGTGGGAAAACCCAGTGGGGAGAGGTCAGAGACAGAGCACAGAGGCTAGGCTAACCCCTGGCTACCTCCTTTCGGGCCTTTGTATCCCAACTGGGCCTGGGCTGAACTCAGAGCCCCCCTCCCCACACCTTCCACAGTGATTGCCCTGAGGCTCAGGCAGCGCCGGGCCAGCACTCCTCTTCAGTTCCATGGCCAGTGGCAGCTTAGGCCTTTGCTTGCCGAACTAGCTTCCTCGGGCACAGTCTGCAGCATGCCCTGAAATTTGGGCTGGGCACAATGACAAACTCTCCAGGGTTTGGGGACACACACAGGGGCAGGGCCCTGTTTACCTGGGGAGCCTCACAAGGCTCACCTAACAACCAGTGCTCACCATGACAGTATCAAGGGTTAAGACAGCCCCATGTAGTCCCGCGCTCCTGGATAAATTCAAGTTCCTTTTGAGTGGATAGTGCCAGGCGTGGTGCTCAGGGCTGGAGATGCCAAGCGGGAGGCAAAGGCACACCAGGGGGGGACTCCCTGTCTCCCCTGGCCAGTTGTCTGGCCTTGGACAAGTGACTTCACCCCTCTGGGACTCTATTCATTTGTAAAATGGAGATAACAGCTGTAATGAAACAAGCTCGCAGGCTTGATTTAAACTGTATAAAATGGCTAGAAAAATGCTCAGCATATAATTTGCACCCTTTCCTTACAAGGTCACAATGGAGGTAGTGGTAGCAAACAGTCACCAGTGTCCTCATAGGAGAGCAAATTCATTAATGGCTTGTGGATGCCAGACTCTCCCCATGAGGGATGATCTTTGGGACCCCAGGCCCTGGGGCTCTCCTTTGGCCTGCTTCACCACAGTCCCTTCAGCACTCACCTGCAGTCCAAAGTCGATGGCAGTGAAGAGGCCTTTGCAAACTGGGCAGGTGAGGTTCCACCACCCAAAGGTTTGCTGGAGCTGGGGCACTACGCGACCAAAACTGGCGAAAAGCCCTTGAGTGGGAAGTGGGTGGGCCCCCGCGGGAGTCCAGAGGGCTAGGGAGTCTAGCAGGGCCAACGCCAGCGCCATCCACAGGAGCCCCAGGCCGGGGGCTCCGCGGGATCTGTCCCATCGCTGGTCCCTGCCGGACCTGGAGTGGCTCCGGCCGGGATTTACTCCGTGGCGCGCCATTGCCTGGCTTCCCAGACCACTCTGGTCTCCTGACCCGGCCCTGCCAGTCTAGGCCCTTGGCTGGCCTCGAAGCCCTTGGGACAGCGATAGGGGCAGCCGGTTAGTCCCGCTGCAGTCGGCTGACAGCTCCGCCGCCCCCCTCAAGGTAGCTCCACCCCTTCCTCTTCCTAGGTCCCCGGCAGCTGCTCGCCGCGGAGGCGGGGAACCTTGACAACAACACGGAGGCGGAGCGGGCTCGCGGGGCCCCGGGCCCGCCCCTGACCGACCGTGTCTGGGATCCAGACCAGGCCCCGCCCTGGCCCGGCCCAGAGGGATCAAGTGTGGCAGGTGGAACGCCCATCCGAGGCTCCTAGGTGCCACCTCTCTCCAAACTTGCTCTCAAATTCCTGGAATAGCTAACTGCCAGGCCCACCCAGCGTTTAACTCGGGAAGCGGAGCCGGGGCGAGCGGCGCTGCGCAGGGATTCTCACTTGCAGTGTGGTGCCCCGCCGAGAGGGCGCCTCCCCTCGATTTCCCAGTTAGGCCACTGGTACCAGCTCCGAGTCACTAGGCCGGAAAATCTTTGAGTCACATTTGATTCAGACTTCTGAGGGAAGGGACCCTGGCCTCAGATGGGGAAACCCGTCTTTTAATTTTATTGATGAGGAAACTGACGCTCGGAGATGGTGAACCAAGAAAGGGTGAAGTCGGGGGGGCCAGGAACACGGGCTAGAGCGTGGGTCTCCCGCCCCTGTATCCGTGATGGTAAAAGCTATCGTTTTACTGAACTCTGTATGTTTCCCGCACCGATCCAGATACTTTAAAATTACGAATCTTCAATTCTACCAACCTGAAGAGGCAAGCATAACACTATTATTACCTCCATTTTACAGAGGGGACGTTGAAGCTTGGGGAAGCAGCAGAAGTGAAAACCTGAAGTGTTTTAACTCCTGGAGTGCTTCTCCAAGACCCACAGAGTCCTGTCAATTCTTTCCTTTGAGAATTTCTTCCAAGTGACTACTCCTCAGTTCTGTGGGCATTACCTCAGAGTAATTGTGGTACAATAAGAAACATAGTTGGTCTTTGTCTGCAGTTCCTAGCACAGAGGTCCCCAAACCCTTTGAATTTCCTGAGCTGTGGGACTGTCTTTTGTTATGCAAGCCTCTTAAAATTCACATCTGAACTTAAACTAATTAGGTGACTTAGGGTGGGGTCCCTCCATAGAAAATGGGGCTGGTTACTTAGAAGGAAAAGTAATTGGGTGGGTGAGAAATGTCAGTGCCACCCCCCAACCACCATGGGAGGGAGTAAGGCTGGAAACCAAGCTCTCTAAAAACTCTTTGAGAGCTTCTGACTGGTGAACAGGGTGCTGGGAGGATACACTGGAGAGAGCATGGAGGTTCCACGATCTGCTCCCTTCTATACCTTGCCCCAATTCATTTGTTTATTCTTGTGTTGGACCCTTTACATACTAGTAAATGTAAGTATGGTGTTTTCTGAGTTCTGTTCCAACAAATTAGAAAACCACAGAAGTGGTTGTTCAGAAGTGCAGGTGGTGTCCTGAGACTTGAGACTGGCTTTGGCAAGGGGAGCCTTGTGGGAGTCAGCCTTTTAACGTGTGGGGTCTCACACTGCCTCCAGGCGTACAGTCTGAATTTCATCGAATTGTCTCCAACCAGTTGGCTTTACAAAATTGGAAAGTTGGTTGGCGGCAGAGAAAGCACCCCAGAATTGGCATCAAAAGAATTTGCCAGACTGGCCCTGGCTCATGGAAGCGTGTGGTTTGGGAATATAAAAGATGAAAGGGTAGAGGAGGAGGAGCCTTTGATTCCTGGGGGTGTGACGTGATCACCCGCGGTGTGGGACAGCAGCTGTGCTGCAATTACTAAAGGTTGAGGAATGGAGAGAAGAAGTAAAATGGAGTCCTAGCCAAATTGCCGAATTACTAAAATCAAGTAGGTTGAGGCATGAGGAAATGATCCTCTTCCTGCTCTAACTAGCCTGGGAGCTAAAACAATGGAACTTTCTAGTTCTGTGTCGATGCCTGGATATACATCAGACTTCCAGATAGCTTCTGGTTACCTGCTGAAGGACTAAGGAAAGAATGTTTATATACCCAGACCACCTGACATCTGTGGACAAAAGAATACCTCTAAGACTCTAGAAACCGAGCGGTGGTCCATGAGGGGAGAGGATGGAACCAAGAAACTACTGAAACCAGAGACTATAATAAGAAGGAGCTGTTTTCTTTGGAAGATTATCATCATCAAATTCCTGAACAACTTTACGAAAATGGGTTGTGGGGGTGAGTGATTTGGGGGCAACATCTTTGCTTTTAAATGCTGCAAACTGGAAGGGCATGAGTGGGTTGATACAGGACCCGCAGCTCACTATGGAACAATCATACTGTCAGCTTTGTTTACCGGCGACTCTATACCGACACCTCTAAATGTCGAGCAGAACACCCCAGATGAAGCAGCTGGTCTGTTTTGTCTGGAAACCAAGTGCGACTGGCTTAAAGATGACGCATCTTCACCTGCTGACTATGCCCATTACCCAGGTCATGGTAAATGCTATGGTTTGGTGGGCCCATTTTACATGGGTACCACTTTAGTCATGACCCCCCCCACGTAAGTTTACTGCTGCAAAATTAAGCAACAGTCACCTAGAGTAACCTATGGAACTGCAAGTTAAATCCGTAATTCGTCAGCAGCTGAGAACTGGTGGGGAAAGGTCGTCCTCTTGTGGATATTTAAGGGAGTACTAGACGAAGCTTAAGAATTGAAGGGCCCAGGCCCTGAAGAAACAGTATTTTTTGAAAGGCAATTCTAACACAGTGCATAACAAGCCCTGAACGGCAGGAGCAGAGGCTGAGGAGGTGGGTTTTAATTCCGGATCCTGGGTTAGAATCCTGGCTCTGCCAGTTACAAGTTGTGTGACCCTGGAAAAAGCATGTCACTTTCCAAAAGTCCCTTTCTTCCTGTGTCACATGAAGATAATAATAGAACACATTGTGGGAGTCAATGAGAAAAAGAGTACTGAGAGTGATGTATAGTACAGAAACAGTCTTAGTATCCGATGCCCCATCTTTGAGTTGCATCCTCAGGCTGTACTGATCATCCTTAACTTAATGAGGTCCAGCTCCCAGCTCTTCTCCGCTTCCCAAGCCCCATTCACCCTGTCCCTTGTCAGGGGAGAGGGATTCTGGCTGCAGTGAGCTGGAAGACAAAGGAAAGATGTGGGTAACTTTGAAAAACCCTATCTTTCTCCCTCAGTGGAATATATAGGGGACATTTATTTAACGGACACTGACCATATTTTGCCGTGTATGGTGCGTGTGCACGTTTTTGCCCAAATTTTTGAGGGGAAAGTAAGGCAGCACATTATACATAGTACCAGAAATACCTTTTTCTGTGTGTGTGTGTTGTAATTATTTGTCACATAAATTTTCTTGTACTATAATATTTTCAAAAAGAAATGCTAAAATTCCTTTACAATACAAAACACACAAGTATCTACATATATTGCCAGGTAATCACGCGTCCATTCAGTTCACACACACGTGCCCCTCACTGGGTTCAGCCTCCCTGGAAAAGCCCTGCAGTCGTCTGTTGTTATTCAGGCAGCCTTCTGAGGACCTCACTCTCCCCACCCTAAACTCCTCATCAAAGGATTCACTCAACAAACCCCATGCTCTTCTGAAGGGAGAGGGAGGAATTCTGCATCCAAGAAAAACTATAATTAAAACATTTCTCTATATTGCCCTGGCTGGTGTGGCTCAGTGGATTGAGCACTGGCCTATGAACCAAGGCCCAGGTTCCCAGTGGGGGGAGGGGGTGTGCCCAGAGGCAACCACACACTGATGTTTCTCTCCCTCTCTTTCTCCCTCTCATCTTCCTTTCTAAAAATAAATAAGTAAATAAAGTCTTTTAAAAATCTCTATATTGTTATACTAGTAACTGAGCAAATCTAAACAGTCTGATGAGAACTTTCAGGCAGAAGTGTGGGGAGTTGTGCGAGCAGAGAGGAGGTTTGTCACCCGGAACTGAGGGCCTTAGTGCGGGTTCCCAGGAAGTGATTTACTTCTACACTGAGGCCAGGGGAGTGCTTAGATGCAGGAAGACCCACGCCCCTGGCCAAGGCAACTGCTTGCACAGTCAGGATTGCAGCCCTGAGGGGAGTCAGGAGTTGAATAGTGCTGAGGCCTGAGGCTGGAGAGACTGGCAGGGCGGCCACATTCAGAGGATTACATTAAAGAGTTTAGTCTTAATCTTCCAAGGAATGGATGCATTTATTATTAAGTCAATTCATTCATTCACCCATCCTGCCAGCTAACCAGCTAGCCATTCCCCAGACAAATGCTTTTAGAAGTCAACTCTGCACCAAGTGTTATACTAGGGACCACGGACCACGGACCACAGAGCCCCGTTAACACCAGCACCTCCATCAGACCTGCCCTCAGGGACCTGTGGAAAGAAAACATAAACCTGCCATAAAGGGCTTTAGATAACATGCTTACCTGGTACTGCAGGGGTCAAAAGAAGAAGTGGTTGATTCCTGCTGATTAGGGAGGAAGGGTTGGCAGGGACGAGAATAGTTTTCCAGTCTTAAAAAGTAATTTAGTATTTGACAAGATTGGGAAGAGGTTTCCCGTTATGTCTCAATGCTTGTGATACATTAGCTTTCACTCAGAACTTACACAACACGCTTCCAGCTTCCTCACTTTGCACACGCTGTTTCTCCTACCTGAAAAGGTCTCCCCTCTGTTTTTACTTCATTAACTTCTACTCATTCTTCAGCTCAATTTTTTCCCCCTTGGGGACACTTTCTTTGATCTCTTTCTTCTTTTCTCTGCCTCTCTCCTACCCTCCTTTTTCTCCTCCATCATATTTCTATTTACCATTATAATTTTACATTTATTTGTAAATGTAAATTTGTATATTGGAGTCATCTTTCTCCTCCAGTAGAGTTTAAGCTTCATGAAGACAGGGATAATGTCTGGTTTTGCTCCCCCAAATACCCCCAGTACTTACCAACGTGTTTGGCATGTCTCAGTAGGAATGGTGGAATAAATTAGAAGTGAGACACAAGCCAAGGACCAATGGCAGAAAACACTGTGCAACAAGGGGAAATATTCAAAAGTTTAGATAAAGGGTGATTTTTGAGAGGAGATGCAGGAGAGGTTGGTAGGCAGGG